ATAGATGCCTGGGCAAACATTGATGTGCAATAGAAGCCTCAACATCCATAACAATAAGTGTGGTCATGATCACGCTAGGCCTCACTGAAAAGCCAATTAATTCATCAGGGCTATTGATTATCTATTGATCAGCGGCGGCAGTTAGTGAGACTGTATAGCTTATTACTTTTCAGTAGCACTTTGATTAGTTTGATTGTCGTGGTTAGGTTTTTTGAGGAGCGTTTAATTAAGTAGTGTTTAACAAGCAAAGATTTATGTGAAATCCAGAGGAGATGTTTGCTATAGGCTACACCTTTACCAAATAAAAAAATAGGAATGGTTCTTAAACCACGTCATTGAATTGTGGTTGAACTGTGGTCTTTCGTTACAGGTTTGACCGCATCGCCCACACCAGGGAGACCATGAACAAAGACGGCATAAAAACCCTGTCGTACAAAGTGGTCAAAGTGGAGAAGGATCAATTATACACCAAAATTACGGTGGACGTGGGGAAAAAATGACTCAGAAAACCAATAAAAACATGAACAGCCTTGACAACCAATTTGCCACTGTGGTGGATGCAGTAACCAAATGTGCCTTGACACTAAATAATGATATGCCTTGGACTCTTTGGACTGTAACCAAATGTGCCTTGACACTATAAATAATGATATTCCTTGGACTCTTTGGACCACAGAGAATGACTGATCTAATCAGCAAACAAACATGTTCCACAATATTCCCTTTATTTTCGGCCTTTGCACATCCGATGGTGAATTGAACTGGGATTCCAGCGTTTCCATCATAGGATCCTGAAATCGTTGACACCAGGAATGAGAGTTGACATTCAGAACATTGACACACTGTTGGGCTGCTGAGACAAAGTCCTTTGTGAGCCATTTTGTCTTGAGGGGAGGTTGTGAAATGTTTAATTGATTGTCCGTTGCATCGGGGACTCTAAAATAATTAATTTTGTCATATGCATCTCTTCGCAATACTGTGGATGTTGTCGTTTGGGTTCATGTTGGGATAATTTTAGTTTCCTGTCACTTTCGGGGGATTTCTTGCTAGTCCTTTTTGATGCCTCTGCTGAGCAGGGTTTCAACCCATCCAATGCCAAGAGGTCAGGCCAAATATGGAACTCTACAATTCCGAGGTCAATAACAAAGCATATCACTTAGTTGTTAGGTTTTGTTAAAAGACAGCCAATCTTAAAGGATTTTTGTACTTTGATGTTCCATCAAAATATTTTGAACTTAACAGAAAGGGCCTAGAATTACAAAAACAAGTTGTTGAAAAGGCCAAATCCCATGATATTTACATTCTAATTCTCACTGCTAAGGGTCCTTAAAGGAAAATTCCACCTAAAAACAATCTTTTGATATAGTCCTAAAATGTTTTGCATGTCAGAAATCAAGTTTTCAAGATCTATAACTTTCAAAATACAGAAATACAGCCGGTATGATGCATTTTGCATCATATCATTTTGGGGGGGAGTTTTCCTTTAAGAGTATTTTGAACAATGTGAAAAGCTTTCTTGAAAGTGTGTCTGCTGAAGCTCCCGTCCCTGTGAAGACCATCCTTCAAGGTAGCCTGTAAGGAGGCCTCTCCCTAGTGGGGAAAAGAGGCACCTGAATGTATTTGCCTGGTGGTGTTGTGAGTGTGTGCCCTGAGGTAAAATGCTACCGCGCTGTTGTCTATCACGAGTGACTGGTGTTGATTTTAATTGGCCTCAATGATGTAGTAACCAAACCACAGGAGGTTGGTGGCACCTTTAATGGGGGAGGACGGGCTCGTTGTAATTGCTGGAGCGGAATGGGTGGAATGGTATCAAACACATGGTTTCCATTTGTTTGATGCCATTTGCTCCGTTTCGGTCATTTTATGAGCTGACCTCCCCTCAGCAGCCTCCTGTCACCACGTCTTCCTAACAGGTCATTAGAGTTCCTCATATATATACAGTGAAAACTACTCAAGATTGTGCGCTATGACGCATGGCGTTGCACATGTACAGTTAGTAACTCAATCTTATTGAGGAAAAAAGCCATTGAGATTTCTGACTGGAGACTAGATATTACAGAATGAGTGTGCTGTCCGTACTCAGGCTTACATGTATGCCATTCTCTTCTGACTCAGTCCTTGGAGAATCTGTAAAATGACAGCCATTTCTGCCTTACCCAAATAAACTTGAAAATATCAATTAATTGGAAAACTTTAGAGAATACTTTATAATGGACCTTGAAACATTAGTAGAAGATATAGGTGTACATTAAACGCTGAAGCGAAGTCAGTAATTCCCTAGCTGTTTCACAAGATGCTGGACTATAGTTGGCTGCCTACTGTACATTCAGTACTGAATGTTCCAATGAAGCAGCCAAGCCATTATGCACACTCACAGCCTATATATATATATATATATATATATATATATATATATATATACAGTATGTTTCCACTGTAAAGCAGAGAATGCTCCTGATGTCATAGGGTTCCCCTTCTAGTTTTAGGGCCTTTGGGCTCGGTCTAGAAAGCCACATCACGGGCTTATTCAACTATGGTGAAACGTTGCATATAGAAATCTGTTATATAGAATGAGCACAATGTACATGGCGAATGGAGGTTTGTCAGCTCTATGCAATACATGTCTATACTCAAAATTGGGAGTGTTTGCCACATTGAATAAGCCTAAGGAAAGGCTGCATCACCACATACAGTGGGGGAAAAAAGTATTTAGTCAGCCACCAATTGTGCAAGTTCTCCCACTTTAAAAAGATGAGAGAGGCCTGTAATTTTCATCATAGGTACACGTCAACTATGACAGACAAATTGAGATGTTTTTTTCCAGAAAATCACATTGTAGGATTTTTAATGAATTTATTTGCAAATTATGGTGGAAAATAAGTATTTGGTCACCTACAAACAAGCAAGAATTCTGGCTCTCACAGACCTGTAACTTCTTCTTTAAGAGGCTCCTCTGTCTTCCACTCGTTACCTGTTTTAATGGCACCTGTTTGAACTTGTTATCAGTATAAAAGACACCTGTCCACAACCTCAAACAGTCACACTCCAAACTCCACTATGGCCAAGACCAAAGAGCTGTCAAAGGACACCAGAAACAAAATTGTAGACCTGCACCAGGCTGGGAAGACTGAATCTGCAATAGGTAAGCAGCTTGGTTTGAAGAAATCAACTGTGGGAGCAATTATTAGGAAATGGAAGACATACAAGACCACTGATAATCTCCCTCGATCTGGGGCTCCACGCAAGATCTCACCCCGTGGGGTCAAAATGATCACAAGAACGGTGAGCAAAAATCCCAGAACCACACGGGGGGGACCTAGTGAATGACCTGCAGAGAGCTGGGACCAAAGTAACAAAGCCTACCATCAGTAACACACTACGCCGCCAGGGACTCAAATCCTGCAGTGTCAGACGTGTCCCCCTGCTTAAGCCAGTACATGTCCAGGCCCGTCTGAAGTTTGCTAGAGTGCATTTGGATGATCCAGAAGAGGATTGGGAGAATGTCATATGGTCAGATGAAACCAAAATAGAACTTTTTGGTAAAAACTCAACTCGTTGTGTTTGGAGGACAAAGAATGCTGAGTTGCATCCAAAGAACACCATACCTACTGTGAAGCATGGGGGTGGAAACATCATGCTTTGGGGCTGTTTTTCTGCAAAGGGACCAGGACGACTGATCCTTGTAAAGGAAAGAATGAATGGGGCCATGTATCGTGAGATTTTGAGTGAAAACCTCCTTCCATCAGCAAGGGCATTGAAGATGAAACGTGGCTGGGTCTTTCAGCATGACAATGATCCCAAACACACCGCCCGGGCAACGAAGGAGTGGCTTCGTAAGAAGCATTTCAAGGTCCTGGAGTGGCCTAGCCAGTCTCCAGATCTCAACCCCATAGAACATCTTTGGAGGGAGTTGAAAGTCCGTGTTGCCCAGCGACAGCCCCAAAACATCACTGCTCTAGAGGAGATCTGCATGGAGGAATGGGCCAAAATACCAGCAACAGTGTGTGAAAACCTTGTGAAGACTTACAGAAAACGTTTGACCTGTGTCATTGCCAACAAAGGGTATATAACAAAGTATTGAGAAACTTTTGTTATTGACCAAATACTTATTTTCCACCATAATTTGCAAATAAATTCATTAAAAATCCTACAATGTGATTTTCTGGAATATTTTTTCTCATTTTGTCTGTCATAGTTGACGTGTACCTATGATGAAAATTACAGGCCTCTCTCATCTTTTTAAGTGGGAGAACTTGCACAATTGGTGGCTGACTAAATCCTTTTTTTCCCCACTGTACCTCCTCACTCTGTCTGGTAGCTATGTACAGACACTCGAAGACATGGGAGTAGTCCCATGATGTGTAGTCTTACTCTTTAAGCCTAGCATGCAGGGCTGCATTATGTGCAATGCATACCATTTTATATGCTTTTCTCAATCTACCTAAAGAGGCATTTTCAAGGTTGAAAACCAGTGTCTTTATAGGTTGGCTGAAGCCAGGTGTGTTTCTCCCAAAGACAATGGCCTTTGTTGAGAAAGCCAGCATTATGTATGCCAAGTGTGAATTCAGTTTGTTTTACAATAGTTAGCTGGCTAATCTATAAGGCTTCCATCACTCAGTTTGACCTTTTTCTTTTCATGTTGTCCATTATGATTCAATGTGTGCATGTATGCTTGTGATTTCTACAAATGCTTGTGTCTTTGTAAATCTTTTGCTGTCTTCACAATTTGATAAAAAAATTGATTTCCTGATTTGTGGGAATGTTTTGGTGAAGATGAAACAGCTCATGTGTAGGTAATTCAATGCTTTGATTTAAGTAAATGTCTTCTCATTCATTAACTTGGGTCAGAACACTAAGCGGTGGTTTCCCGGACACAGATTAAACCTATTCCTGGATTTAAGAGTATTCTTTTTGTACAAGCGTTATGTCAGCCAGCTAAACTCTGTCTTCTTAGTTAATGATCAGTGTGGCCACTGGCAAGTAGTCTCATCTGCACAGTGCAATGGGTGGAGCGTATCCATGGGTTACCTGACGAGACAAGGGTGCAGGAGCAAGCAGAGTAGCCCTTTCCTCCTTTTAAACTAAAGACAAGCCAACTGCTGGACTACATTTACTTAGTGAAGAAAAAACCACCTCTGTCCAGGTAAGAGGTTACTACTACTTAATCTTTGCGATAATCTCACTCATGCAGTTATGAGTTGTGACAACCAGCTTGAAGCTATTACCTGTATGTGGTGTCGTGAACGTCGGCCATTTCATGTGGCTTGTAAACATATTATCTTCCTGTTACAACTGTTCAAACAATGAGGCCATGTACAAATACTTTCCTTTATGGTGCTACTAATTCGTATTGGAACTTCCAGTGCTCCATTGTGAGCGAATGGTTTGTGGTTAGGTATGAGTGTGAATGAAAGCCCTGTTTTACAATGTATTATTTGTATAATTGAGTCACTGGCAGTGATATGGAGGTTTTGACGCAGGTTGGTAACCTTGGCAGAAGTTTTCTTTCCACTAACAAACCCGTGGACGATATGCTATCTGGCTGGCATCGACTCACCCAACCTGGGACGGTTGACCTTCGGGCCCTCCTGGACTCTGAGCAGCGGAGGAGAGATCTGGAGGTCAGTCTGGCTCAGGTCCAAAATGCCCTGCAGAAACAGAGGGTCAGAATGCTCCATAGAATTGGCCCAGGGAGCCAACATGCACTTCCCCAGGTAATGGACATAACTACTGTAGTTAGTGTAGGCTGTGTCCCTTATCACCACTGATGCCACTTTCCATAGTTTTCTTCAGTTTGATATCAGAGATTCTAAAGGAAGGGAATTTAGGCTAATGACACATCAGAATAAAGACATAGCTGAGTGGGTTTCCTTTCTCACAAGGTCACTGTGCTAACCTGTGCCATGGTTTGACCCATATTTGTTCATTGCCTCCCCCACAGATGCTTGTTTTGAATCTTGGGCAGATCAAACGACCAGTAAACCTCCATCCCAGTCTGTTATCAGGGAGCAACTACATCCCACCATATGGTGACCTTTATACAAGGTAATGAAGAACTATGGCGCTTGATGGTCAATGCAATGAATCATTTTTTGGCTTTCTCTTTTTGTATTTTTATCAGGACTTTTCTGTCTCATGTCCTCAGAGTGGGCAGGCTAGAGTTAGACTTGGAGATCATTAGCGCCCAACTGGACCAGGTTCTCTGTTCTGGAGGAAAGCGTCTCCACGGGAATGGACCCCCACCCCAACAGGACAGCTTGACTCCTGTAAGCCCTTGATAATCATAGGAAACTAGTCTCCCAGTGGCAAAATGAAAGTTGCCCAGTATGAAAGGCATATGTCCACTGAAATTAGATGTCTTTCAATCTATCAGTTTGACCTCTGTCTGTCAATCAGGAGAAATGCTTCTGTACCGTTCGCCCACAGTGCCAGAGGGAGGACCATAATATGACCTCCCAGCTTATTGCTCAAGCAGTTGACAAAGGACAACTACTGAAAGTAAAGCACTCTGTATTTCATCCTTTTAACTAATAACATGCCAAAACTGACACGCATTGTAAACACCTTGAGTTGAGAAAAAAGTTCTGGAAGGCTGACTCAACTGTGCTTGGCCATCACCCAAGAAACTGGTGTTTTCAGGAGCGAGACAACCTTGAGCGTCTACTGGAGGATTCCAGGGCCCAGCAGCAGCTGATGGAGCAGGGGAGGGAGGCCCAGATAGCAGCCCTTCACTCCCAGCTGTACCAGGCACGCTCCAGCCTCCAGGAGACCCACAGAGGGAGACTGGCCACACAGGCAGAGCTACATGGCAGCAAGCAGGTAGTCATGGAAGACCAGACCAACTAAACTTGTACAGGGATTTAGACCCTAAATGGATTGCAGGCTGTTCCGTCGTACATGTAATCTTGCAGAGCCAGACGTGTCTATCAGTAGTATCTAACCCAGGCATTATCTGATAACACATGACTAACTGAAAACTGAAGGGTATTGTGAACCAGTAGAAAATAAAGTAATGTTTTACCAATCATATAGTAACAGTTGCCTCTATCATAAGAATGCCACGATAAGGCCATTCACTATTTTCCATAACACCACTTGGTTGGCTGATGCTCTGCAGATAAATGAGTCCCTGCTACAGGAGGTGGCATCTCTCAGACGGAGGCCGGGGGCTGCAGAGGAGCGGGCCTCCCTGATGGAGAGTGACGGACGCCTTCTCAGGGCTCGCATAGCAGCACTGGAGACTGAGCGGGAGGAGCTGCTTCAACAAGGACACCTCGCCACAGGGAGACGACACCCCTCAGCCTTTGGGTAAGGAACCCCCACCCTCTATCATTGATGCACTTGCAGATCTGAAAGGATCAGATGGATATAATCAATATAGTTCCACTTTGCTCTCTGATAGCCTAGGTGGAATTTTCTCCATATTGCTGCCGTACACTTATGCAACCCTTATGGTCTTCATAAGGGTAAAGTGGGTAGGGGTGGATTTGGGATTGAATTAGTGTCTCTACTTTTATCTTGAGCTCAAGGGGAAGTTTCTCGTCTCAGTGTTTTCACTCTTGGCATCGTCAGAGTGCTGAGAGCTCCAGAACACAGAGAAACAGTCAGCCTTATAACAGACTAACAAGAAGCAGGGGTTTGTCTGTCCAATTTTTGCTAAACACATCTGTTTGTGTTTTAGGAGCGCTTGGGAAATGGATGTGGAAGATGCCGAAAAGTCAAAGGAGGGGGTGAGGGAGGAGAGTGCCGTGGAGGAGGAAGATGAGGATGAGGAAAATTATGAAGAGGAGAGAGTAGAAGGGAAGAATGTGTCTGTGGACTTAAGACTTCAGATCCATGAGGTGCCTCTCTCTAAGCCTGGCCCACATATAACGGAAGAGAACCAGGTAAATGACTATTTGAGGGTCCTTTCCTACAGCACCATATCACGTGGAGGCAACCTAACATATGGTTGTGATGTTTTCTTTCAAACATACCTCTCCTCCAAATCCCACTTCAACAGCTCCCAAACTTTTATTTTCCCCAACATACTCAGTTGAATTCATTAGAACAAATAAAAATGCTATATAATTGAACTAGCATAGTTTTCTTTTAACCTTGGAAATTATTAAGCCATGGCTTTTATTACACTTCTAGTACATTGGCTCATTAAAGACCCATTGCCAGTAAAATATAACTTTATTAAAGTTGAAAAAGTACACATTTCCCCTTCATGCAATCCGATAAACTATTTTAAGCTAGGATGCTAATTATCTTTGCAGTTTACTGTGCTACATGTTTCACTATCCAGTATCAAGCTAACACATGCTCTATAGACAAGCTATAGACATACTTATGAGTTATATGGACTGGATTCCTGAGCATTCACTGTCTTCGAATACTACTGATAAAAGATAATGCTGGACAGTCTCTGCTTCTGGTCTGTGAGGGGAAGGAGGGACATCTGGAGAGCCTCTTCTCTATCAGCTGTGCTCAAATCAACAATGTATACATTGTAACAACCTTACGTAACAGCAAACCTGTTACAGCCACAAAGCCCATGAACAACTTCCAATTATTAATGTTACATTGGGCAACACAGGGTGTCATTGTTTTAGTCTGAGGACTCTGACATGTTCTTGTTTATTCTTGAAGCTGGTGAAGAGTTTTGACTTCTGGCTTACGCTAATACTAATCCCTATCCGAGACTATTTTCTTTGGCCCTGAGCTTGTGGTCCACGGTGCACTGCCTTTTACTGCCCTGGTCCCTGCGGACACATAAACATGGTTTTCGTGGGATATGCAGACTGGAAAGACTTTGTTGGAATACTGCAGGTCTAGACACTTTCCCTCACCGATATGACAATGTCATTATGAAGGGACCAATCAGAGAACAGGGTTATGATGATATCTTTATGAAGGGACTAATCAGAAATCAGTGTTATGACAATGTCATTATGAAGGGACCAATCAGAGAGCAGGATTATGATGTCCTTATGAAGGGGGCAATAGACAGCAGGGTTATAACGATGTCATTATGAAGGGACCAATCAGAGAGCAGGGTTATGACGACGCCATTATGAAGGGACAAATCAGACGGTAGGGTTTTGACAATGTCATTATAAAGGACCAGTTAGTGAGAAGGGTTAAAATAGAAAACTAAGTATAGGATGTAAAGAATGCTATCCTAGACAGTAGTATTATTCAAAGACAGAGGTAAAGACCGAGGTAATGAAAGTTATTTTTCCTTCGTTCTTTTCACTTCCAAGTACACAATGCTTACTCAGGAATAGGTGTTACAGTGAGGGGAAAAAAAGTATTTGATCCCCTGCTGATTTTGTACTTTTGCCCACTGACAAAGAAATCAGTCTATAATTTTAATGGTAGGTTTATTTGAACAGTGAGAGACAGAATAACAACAAAAAAATCCAGAAAAACGCATGTCAAAAATGTTATAAATTGATTTGCATTTTAATGAGGGAAATAAGTATTTGACCCCCTCTCAATCAGAAATATTTCTGGCTCCCAGGTGTCTTTTATACAGGTAATGAGCTGAGATTAGGAGCACACTCTTAAAGGGAGTGCTCCTAATCTCAGCTTGTTACCTGTATAAAAGACACCTGTCCACAGAAGCAATCAATCAATCAGATTCCAAACTCTCCACCATGGCCAAGACCAAAGAGCTCTCCCAAGGATGTCAGGGACAAGATTGTAGACCTACACAAGGCTGGAATGGGCTACAAGACCATCGCCAAGCAGCTTGGTGAGAAGGTGACAACAGTTGGTGCGATTATTCGCAAATGGAAGAAACACAAAATAACTGTCAATCTCCCTCGACCTTGGGCTCCATGCAAGATCTCACCTCGTGGAGTTGCAATGATCATGAGAACGGTGAGGAATCAGCCCAAAACTACACGGGAGGATCTTGTCAATGATCTCAAGGCAGCTGGGACCATAGTCACCAAGAAAACAATTGGTAACACACTACGCCGTGAAGGACTGAAATCCTGCAGCGCCCGCAAGGTCCACCTGCTCAAGAAAGCACATATACAGGGCTGTCTGAAGTTTGCCAATGAACATCTGAATGATTCAGAGGAGAACTGGGTGAAAGTGTTGTGGTCAGATGAGACCAAAATCGAACTTTTTGGCATCAACTCAACTCGCCGTGTTTGGAGGAGGAGGAATGCTGCCTATGACCCCAAGAACACCATCCCCATCGTCAAACATGGAGGTGGAAACATTATGCTTTGGGGGTGTTTTTCTGCTAAGGGGACAGGACAACTTCACCGCATCAAAGGGACGATGGACGGGGCCATGTACCGTCAAATCTTGGGTGAGAACCTCCTTCCCTCAGCCAGGGCATTGAAAATGGGTCGTGGATGGGTATTCCAGCATGACAATGACCCAAAACACACGGCCAAGGCAACAAAGGAGTGGCTCAAGAAGAAGCACATTAAGGTCCTGGAGTGGCCTAGCCAGTCTCCAGACCTTAATCCCATAGAAAATCTGTGGAGGGAGCTGAAGGTTCGAGTTGCCAAACGTCAGCCTCGAAACCTTAATGGCTTGGAGAAGATCTGCAAAGAGGAGTGGAACAAAATCCCTCCTGAGATGTGTGCAAACCTGGTGGCCAACTACAAGAAACGTCTGACCTCTGTGATTGCCAACAAGGGTTTTGCCACCAAGTACTAAGTAATGTTTTGCAGAGGGGTCAAATACTTATTTCCCTAATTAAAATGCAAATCAATTTATAACATTTTTGACATGCGTTTTTCTGGATTTTGTTGTTGTTATTCTGTCTCTCACTGTTCAAATAAACCTACCATTAAAATTATAGACTGATCATTACTTTGTCAGTGGGCAAACGTACAAAATCAGCAAGGGGATCAAATATTTTTTCCCCCACTGCACATAATGTTATTACATTCAAACAGAGCAATACTAGCACTTCAAATGCTTATTCTTGGAGCGTACTGGTCTCATTTCCCCTCCAGTTTGGCTGTGCGTGCCCTCATTTTATTGGTTGTAACTGAAAGGTATGTTCCCAAAACCATGTACTTCTACCCGAGTCTGGCTGATGCCACCTTGCATGACTCCACACTGGCACAGACAATCGTTCTTGATTTGAGGGGAGCTGGAAACTTCCTGCTCACTTACTTACTCACTCACACACATACCCATTCTCTCTCTCTCTGTTACTCTCACTCTCTCTCAAATTATGAGGAAATGGGATAATGACCCTGTCATGAGGTTTTCCGTTGCCGTCATCAGAGTCCCAGATTTCCCTGTGTTCTCAGTGTCTGCTAGTCCCTGTTGCGTTTTACAGGCCCCATGTCTGCTGAATTCAACAAAGATACAAACTGCAGACTTTAGCAAATCCTCACAAAGTCAAACTGGGTATGTCTCATGTTAACATTGGCCCACAATCGACTTCAGATAAGTGCAAACTCAGTTTTAGTGCAATAAAGTTGCATTTATCACTACTATTCATACTATACAATGTTAATGCAACCCAACCATTCCATGTACAGAACCTGCAGGAGCCCTTGTGCCAATCCTCATTTTGATAACCCAAGAGAGTTACACCAGCAGGTAAGATTGATCATTCTGACCCATTCTGCAGCAATGAGTAGTGCTAGAGTAGTTAGTGGGCACTGAAGCACATAACAAAAGGTTACACGTGGAGATTGAAGAGACACACCTCTCTGTTCCACATAACATGTCTTCCATGCATTCCATTCTATTTGCTACTGAATAATTATGTACTTCCTTCAGTTTTGCTGGCAGTGAACATCCTGGCAGTGAAGTAGCCACAGATGGCATACTTGGTGGCCTTAGGACCAGTGTTTATCATTAAGCTTTACTTTATACCTTCCTTACTCGTCTGTGTCTTTATTCTTCTGCTGTCAATGATGTGTCCAATGGTCGTCACAGGACAGAGAGGAGAAAGGGCCGGGATTGGTCGATCGCTGGAATCCATGGCAGCACGAGCCAATAGAAGCCAATCAAGTGAGTTCATGGCATCGTCATAATCCAATTCTTGGCATCACCTCACACCAAGTTGCCCTAATATCATGTAGTGACTTGGAAAGGTATTGACACAAAACTGACTTAATTCTATCAGTGAAGATAATTGCATGTTATTACTGGTAACTGTACACTTTGATCTAGTGAGCCCCTATTTTCATTGTATAACAGCTGAACGAGTGGCTAACCATAGGAGTAGATGAACTTGTCCTTTCTGCAGATGACTGCACTGATCATAGAGCTGCAGCAGCTGAGAACGGCCTGTGAAGAGACATCATCCACACTACCTGTCTCCCCCAAGGGCCAGAGAGTGGCTGGAAAGAGCTGCTCTGCTCAAGGTAGGACTGGCAACCCACCACTCCTGGTTTGGTTCAGAGTCTCCCAGAGGCTTATTCTCTCAACAAGCAGTTAAGCTATTTTTCTAATAACTGAATTGAATCAATTATGTATTGAATTAATGAAAAGAATGTGGACAGATTTCTGTGTGGGAATACCATTGTGTGTTTATGCTTCTACAGTTGGCATGGCCAATATGTGCTACTATACCAGTGGTTCCAGTTATATTGCCAATACCTGTTATTTTGTTTGAAAGTCTGTTTTTCTCTGTGTGGGAGAGATGGAGGAGAATAGGAATGGGCTGGCTGTCCTGGAGAGAGACTGGAGTTCTTCAGGTGGTACCTCCAGGATCATTGGCAAAGGAAGAAGTAACCCACTACATTCACCTTGATCCTTGACTATGTAGGACCACATTTCCATATTCTCCACAATCATCGATGCTTTCTTTTACAAAGACATGTCTGTTTGCATATGCAATAAATCATGTCTCAATCAAGACAGCAGGAAGTGTTCAGCTGAGTCGCTGCGTATTAAATTGTGATCTGAAGTACATCCTCAAGAACTCCTTTAATTTTTTCTGACATCACCCGCATTGTGGACTGTGTACAGTATTTGGTTTGTCAGTTTAATATAAATATTGGACTGGATTAAATACAACTCTACTATCCCTAGGCCTCCTTTATGGGTATAACAGTTGGACAGAAAAATAACACTGCTGGCAAACAATACCCCACAAGGATCTCACCCCCCTCATATCATTTACTTGTATTATGCATGTACACAAGCTTATTTGAAAAAATACAGGTCTTTTTCAGGCTCCATTGCATAGGCTAACCTATCAAAACATATTCCAAAGATTACACAATTTATGGTTGGCCTGCATGCACATTGTCTAAACAGTGAAGAAAAGTTAATATTGATTGTGGCTGAGTGTGTGGAGGAATTAGTCACTTCCTTGAATGGGTCTTGCTCAATATTAGACCTAATGGTCATTGCGTACTGTGTGGTTTGCTCTTGTGATCTGTTTGATACCCCTCCCTTGCAGTACAGGAGGTGATTTCCTGCATACAGTCGTCATCCGAGTCTGACTTGCCAGTAGATGACAGCTAGTAAATGAAAGTGGCGTGCCCTTTTGTGGACAGGTTTGAACTCTTTTTCTTTAATTTTTTCTTAATCAATGCGACTTCTTAATCAATACAGTTAGATTACTTATTTATTTCACATAAAATAAGAATAGAGTAGATATTATCAACCAAGGACATTGTCCTTACTCATGGGTACAAAATATGTTTAAAAAAATTATCAGAATAGGTGTTGTTGACTGCTGTGATTATTCACACAGCGCAACACACTGGGGTCAAAATCCCCTTCAACTGATAAGATCAAAGGACTTGATTCATTTGAAATACACTGCATTCATCACTCAGTTACATTTCCCTCCGTAGTCACGGAGGAGAGGAGACAAGGAAAGGAGACTACCACACCAATGCCTCATTGCCTTCAAATGATTGAGGCGAACCCCACTAATTCAGACTGTTCGAGCGTACTTCTCCGGAGCAGAGTGCTCCCCTAGCCTAAAAGGATCCGTCGGCCATCCTCCCATCATGCTGGGCCGTAATGTTCTCACAGCTCTTCAGCGGGTTGGCTACGATGAGGGTCTGCTGGATGGACTTGGCCTTGACCCACACGTGCCCGTTCATCCCCACCACCATCTCAAAGGGGACATATTTTTCCAGGTCCTTGGCTATCACACTCTGGGGCGCCAGCAGCCTGAATGGAGAGATGACCATTACTATTTAGAACCAGGGTTGTGTTCAGTGGTGCAACATTACAGAATGTTCAGATAGAAATGTAGATCATATGCTGAATATGTGTGTTAACTGTAATGCGGTTTTGAATAAGAGCACTTGCAAAATCACCGTGGACTACTCTTATTATTATGACATACCTGTGTACAAGTCTCAGGGATACCTTGAAGAGAAGCCTGCTGGCTCCAAACACCCCCATCCCCATTGGCTCGTCCACAGCTGTCTAGACACATGTCTTTGTTGGCAATGATAAACTGGGAGCACACCTGGTCCCCCACCTGCAATGGCACCACGGGTACAAAATTGAGAAAGACTAGTGACATCAAACTTTCAATTGAACGACATGTTGTTCAAGGTAAAGGGTCATTCCACCTGGAAGTATAAAGAGGCGTTTGTAACAATACTGACCTGCGCATTAGGTCTATTCCTCTTGGTAGCCCCCTCGAAGGCCAGGTAGGAGAGTGACACTTGCTCACTCCCCTCTAAATCCACCTTGAAGATGTCACCTGACTTGGCAGGTACGATGCCGATCACGCTCTCCCCCTTGGCTGGAACGTACTGGGAGAGACAGAATAAGCAGCGAGTCCACAACTTGAGTAGAACCGTGTAACAGATGTACTAACCTAATGGAGCAGCCATAAACAGTTCATTCTGGCAATTTTTGTACAACATTTCGTCTAGTCTTTGTCATTTTGACTAAAATATCATTAAGTCTTAGTCACATTTTTGTCATGAATAATAATTGTGTAGTTATTGTCAAAATTATAAAAACAGTGGGCCATTTTAGTAAACTAAATGCCCTTTCATTTTAGTCACATCACATTTGTATTGCCTCATTAACCTATAGTAAACATAAATCTCCGGCCAACATTTTTCTGCATAACATCCTGTCGCATGATTCTCTTCCCAACAGCCAAATTGGCAGAAGAACACATTACTCAGCAGCAGATTAAAACAAAAATCACCCCTTGACAGGGCTGCAGACTAACATGTTCCCCTGGTGGCAATGGTGCCACTAACCTTTTCAGTTGGTGGCACCAGCCCATGATTTGGTTGTACAATTGTTTTCCTGCGTTGTCATGCAATAAATATTTTTTCAAATCACCTTATAAAGTAATACACAGTGCTTTAGACTGTGTAATATACTACTGATATGGTAGGCTATTCAATAAATAAATGGTTTCATCTAACATGTCCAAGCAGGAATGCATGATTCAAGATATTCTGATGTGCAACCTAATACAGTGATTGTCATGAATTTAGGGTTGATAATCAGGCTATTATATTTTACTATTAAAATAGGGCTCCAGAATGTTCAGAATTTTGTTGATCAATACAGATGAATTTGCCTACATTTTTATCATAGGCTAATTTATTATGGGGCTAATTCACCACATGAGGAAGTGAAAACTCAAAACACATTAGCTAGATCGCTAACACTAAATATACTGAACAAAAATATAAAATGCCACATGTAAAGTCTTGGTCCCATGTTTCATGAGCATGAAATAAAAGATCCCAGATATTTTCCATATGCACTAAAAGCTTATCTCAAATTTTGGGCACAAATTTGTTTATGTCCCTGTTAGTGAGTATTTCTCCTTTGCCAAAATAATCCATCCACCTGACAGATGTGACATATCAAGAAGCTGATTAAACAGCCTGATCATTACACAGGTGCACCTTGTGCTGGCGACAAGAAAAGGCCACTCTAAAATGTGCAGTTTTGTCACACAACACAATGCCACAGATGTCTGAAGTTTGAAGGAGTGTACAAATGTCCACCAGAGCTGTTGCCAGGTAATTTAATATTAATTTCTCTACCATAAGAAATGGCAGTACGTCTAACCGGCCTCACAACCGCAGACCACGTGTAACCACGCCAGCCAGGACCTCCACCTCACCTGAGGGATCGTCTGAGACCAGCCATTTGGACAGCTGATGAAACTGAGGAGTATTTCTGTCTGTAATAAAGATATTTTGTGGGGGGAAAAAAGAATACTTACCTGGTGCACAATGTTCAGTCTATGTTGGTTTGCCTGTTGAATAATAGGGGACACAGTAGTTTCTCCCTGTCCCACCTCCTTAAATATGTCATCAATCATCAGGGTGAACAACACCGGACTAACCACACTTCCCTGAGGAGTACCATTGTCCACTTCAAAGCCCTAAATGTGCACTTCTGAGGGGAGAACAATAAAAATGTATTCTTCTAAGATAAAATAAACGTTTAAGGTGCATGCCGCACCTACCGTGCTGGAGTGTGTGGTCAATCATGGTTTACAACATTCTACGAAAATAAAAAAGCCCTACTAACTTCTAAAAGACCATCCCCCAAATCCCTTCCAAAATCCCTTCCAAACCCAACACTTCAATCTTTCCCTCTCTTCAATATACTTACAGCAATATGACAACATGCTCCACCATTTCATTGACCATACACTCCAGACACAAACCATTCACATGCTTGCCAACCAGATGTAACAATAAAATGTGACATAGGAGACCAAGGAAAATACAGCAAAAACTTAAGTATATTTGTTGTAGTGCCACCATGTGGATTTTTGGAGTTACTACTACCAATAATTTCACAGAAATTCTAGTTTTACTGTAGGGAAGTGTAATTTATATTTTCTTATGTATATTTATGTCATTATTCATGTGGTATGTTGATTGAAGTACAACAACAAAATTACAAACAAATGTGCACACAATAAGGAGCATCTGGACATTTAATGATAAAGGATTCTACAGGAGCTGGGACTGAAAAATCTATTTATTTTTTACAAAGATAGTGTTACAATGTAATACAAATCAATATGATTATATAAAGTGTGTGTGAGTGAGTGTGTGAGTGTATGCGCATGCATGGGTGTTCCATAAAAAACAACTTCTACAACCAATTCTAACAATCACAGAAAGAATCAAAGATACATGTGATAATATTATCACTTCCACGGCAGAATAATCAGTAGGCCTTCTCTTCAGCAACTTCCATCTTTCACTATCAAGATGTCTGCATTGGTTTCCCTGGAGAGAGAGAGAGAGAGAGAGACAGAATTATTTAAGAAAGCATACTTTGCAGAATATTTTAAGACTTTGGTCTATTCCAGTGAACTAATTTTGGGCTAATTCTGTGTTTTACATATACTTTTTGTCATAGGCAGGGCACGAAAACACTAGCCTCGTCGCCAGATCTCTTTGTACAGAGATGTCACCAGGGGTCTCTTCACAGTCCCCAAGTCCAAACTGAATTCATGGCAACGCACAGTATTATACAGAGCCATGATCGCATGGAACTCCTTTCCATCTCCTATTACTCAAGCAAACAGCATGGAACGGCAGGGGACTGTGAGGACACACACAAACACACGCGCACACACATCATTTTTTCAGTTGTATTGTTTGTACTACTATATACGATTTTTTGTTGTATTATTTGTATATCGTTGTATTTTAAATTTAGAGAGGAAACATTTCTGTATAATTAAACTGATATATGTTAGACTCACAGCCGGTGAACACACAGAGAGCACTCGTTGGGGTAAGTGTTTCCATTATTGCCACACACTGGGGAGTAGTTGAGCGGGCACGCCTGGGTTAGGCTCATATCCCCACAGGAAGGCTGATAAAATAATTAAATAACATTTCAAGTTTATATCATTTTTTGACTCCAACCCTGGTTGGTGTTCTATATTCACACATTTAAATTCACATGAATTAATTTGTAGTAGCCAAATTAGTATAGGGAACTGTAATGATAACATTTGAATGGAAGCCTCACCCTCCTGTAGAGTCTGGATCGGTCCTCTGCATCTGCTAATGTGACACATAAGGAGAATTGAGCATATTGTTCTTTATTCTTTACTATCATAATCACTTAATAACTACTAATGAACAGCACAATAGACAGTACGACCTTTGTAATTTTTGGACAAACTACAGTTCCTATATTGAAAGGAATTATGAAATATGTACAAATGTATTTACCTGCAGAAAATAAGACAGCCAGACAGATTAGCAAAATAGTTTTCCCAATCATGTTCATGTGGTCTGGCCAAAAGAGATCAAATTCAACTGATAAAATAGTTGGTGTAGGTCCAATTACTGAATGCAGCTCCAAAAGTACAATATAATCAATATTATATCTCCTTTGCTTCTGTCTCTTCTGCGATGTGCCTTGCTCAAGGTCTGCTGTTGGTTTGGAACCTGTGGATGTTGTGTCGTTGTCATATAGTGGAGGGCGCGTCTGTTTGTCTGTGAAATAATGTGACCCTGTGTCGTGTAAAGCTGATGTTTTGACGCCCCTGCACCTGACCAGCCCGCTGGCAACAGTTTCAACAGAGCCCCCCTATTGTCCAGGTCTTTATTAAGGGATGAACATTCCTACTGCCTAAATATTGCTGAGCGCACTATAAAAACAGAGGGGCGGGGGGGCAGGTGTGCGTGACACTGGTGTTGTTGATGATGAAATGCATACCTATGACCAAGAGTTTACTATGTTACATCTTTTAAAGCACTGAATTGAAGACTGTACATTATGTTCACAGAATTTGTAATATTTTGGGCCACACAACAATATGGTCTGATCTTGTTTTCACCTGTATGGTAGGCTTATTTAGTTTCACTAGGCCTACAGTTGGCCTACTTACACTGTGTGTACAAAACATAAAAAACACCTGCTCTTTCCATGACATACAGTGGGGGAAAAAAGTATTTAGTCAGCCACCAATTGTGCAAGTTCTCCCACTTAAAAAGATGAGAGAGGCCTGTAATTTTCATCATAGGTACACGTCAACTATGACAGACAAATTGAGAAAAAAAATCCAGAAAATCACATTGTAGGATTTTTTATGAATTTATTTGCAAATTATGGTGGAAAATAAGTATTTGGTCACCTACAAACAAGCAAGATTTCTGGCTCTCACAGACCTGTAACTTCTTCTTTAAGAGGCTCCTCTGTCCTCCACTCGTTACCTGTATTAATGGCACCTGTTTGAACTTGTTATCAGTATAAAAGACACCTGTCCACAACCTCAAACAGTCACACTCCAAACTCCACTATGGCCAAGACCAAAGAGCTGTCAAAGGACACCAGAAACAAAATTGTAGACCTGCACCAGGCTTGGAAGACTGAATCTGCAATAGGTAAGCAGCTTGGTTTGAAGAAATCAACTGTGGGAGCAATTATTAGGAAATGGAAGACATACAAGACCACTGATAATCTCCCTCGATCTGGGGCTCCACGCAATATCTCACCCCGTGGGGTCAAAATGATCACAAGAACGGTGAGCAAAAATCCCAGAACCACACGGGGGGACCTAGTAAATGACCTGCAGAGAGCTGGGACCAAAGTAACAAAGCCTACCATCAGTAACACACTACGCCGCCAGGGACTCAAATCCTGCAGTGCAAGACGTGTCCCCCTGCTTAAGCCAGTACATGTCCAGGCCCGTCTGAAGTTTGCTAGAGTGCATTTGGATGATCCAGAAGAGGATTGGGAGAATGTCATATGGTCAGATGAAACCAAAATAGAACTTTTTGGTAAAAACTCAACTCGTCGTGTTTGGAGGACAAAGAATGCTGAGTTGCATCCAAAGAACACCATACCTACTGTGAAGCATGTGGTGGAAACATCATGCTTTGGGGCTGTTTTTCTGCAAAGGGACCAGGACGACTGATCCGTGTAAAGGAAAGAATGAATGGGGCCTTGTATCGTGAGATTTTGAGTGAAAACCTCCTTCCATCAGCAAGGGCATTGAAGATGAAACATGGCTGGGTCTTTCAGCATGACAATGATCCCAAACACACCGCCCGGGCAACGAAGGAGTGGCTTCGTAAGAAGCATTTCAAGGTCCTGGAGTGGCCTAGCCAGTCTCCAGATCTCAACCCCATAGAAAATATTTGGAGGGAGTTGAAAGTCCGTGTTGCCCAGCGACAGCCCCAAAACATCACTGCTCTAGAGGAGATCTGCATGGAAGAATGGGCCAAAATATCAGCAACAGTGTGTGAAAACCTTGTGAAGACTTACAGAAAACGTTTGACCTGTGTCATTGTCAACAAAGGGTATATAACAAAGTATTGAGAGACTTTTGTTATTGACCAAATACTTATTTTCCACCATAATTTGCAAATAAATTCATTAAAAATCCTACAATGTGATTGTCTGGATTTTTTTTTCTCATTTTGTCTGTCATAGTTGACGTGTACCTATGATGAAAATTACAGGCCTCTCTCATCTTTTTAAGTGGGAGAACTTGCACAATTGGTGGCTGACTAAATACTTTTTTTCCCCACTGTAGACTGACCAGGTGAATCCAGGTGAAAGCTATGATGCCTTATTGATGTCACTTGTTAAATCCACTTCAATCAGTGTAGATGAATTGGGGGAGACAGGTTAAAGAAGGACTTTTAAGCCTTGAGACAATTGAGAAAGTGAATGGGCAAGACAAAAGATGTAAGTGCCTTTGAACAGGTATGGTGGTAGGTGCCAGGTGCACAGGTTTGTGTCAAGAACTGCAACGCTGCTGGGGTTTTCACGTTCAACAGTTTCTCATGTGTATCAAGAATGGACATCCAGCCAACTTGAACCAACTGTGGGAAGCATTGGAGTCAACATGGGCCAGCATCCCTGTGGAACGCTTTTGACAGCTTGTAGAGTCCATGCCCAGAGGTATTGAGGCTGTTCTGAGGGCAAAAGGGGGGGCTGCAACTCAATATTAGGAAGGTTCTTAATGTTTTGTACACCTAGTGTATATTGTCTGTGTGCTAATGCAAATGAGGCCCTCATTCCCAGAATTCTTTGAACTAGAGTAAACAAGATGATAATTCAGGGTTCATTTTTATTTTTTATTTTGAATGAACACATGACTTCTATGCATAATCAATCAAATATTATTTGTATAGTGCTTTTGTCACAGTTGGCTTAATAAAATATGGACATAAATCCTAATATTAGTGACAGGGAGGAAAAAAGCTTGACGAACCAGACTAGTGGGGGTGGGGGCATCTTCATCTGGATTGGTTTAATTCAGAGTAGAAATTATATTACTTTATTTATTACTACTCATAATACTTGAACCCACCAACGTGTGGATATAAATGTCATGTCATGAAATTCAGATCAAAGGCGTCTGTTTTTTTCATGGTACACTAAACTTCTCTGGTCTTCCGTAGTCTACAACTGTTTACTGAACTCAGGTGGTGCTTTTGGATACATTGTATCTAACACTAGTGTTATTGCAACCCCGTTCAAACGAGATGTTTACAGTAAGAAATGCATTTCGCAGATCGTCAAGTCTTGTCTGAAAAAATGGTGACGTGGTACATTTGGACTATTGATTTGGTCTACGATGATGAGGGCAAATTCCAATGCAAATAGATTTATTGTTTGTTCACATCAATATATTGTAGACGTTCGCTTTTGTATCATCATGTTTGACAAAAGTCAATGTGAGTTCCAGTTTGGATTTATGCAAACCCTTTTCGCCAGATATGCATGGTATTCATAGTCAAGAGCGAAGCAAGAGCTACCCAGCTAAAAACAAACATACCCACAACTTTAGAGAACGTTCCCTTAAGAGTCTCATTAGGTCATTAACAAACGTTTTCATAGGACTGTTCCAGTTATTTGCAGACCATTCCCTTAATGTCAAACAGAACTTACCCAGAATGTGGTCATCATGTTCTCAGAACATTCAATGATAATGTTCGAGACACGTTTCATTGGAACGTTGCAAGAATATTCCACTGTCTAGTTAATCAGAAATACTTTTCTCATTTTGTCAGGAACCATAGACTGGTATTGGCTGTGACCGTTTTATTCGATAATACATGGATTTTAATCTGTTTTCCCAAAACACCTTCTGCAGAGGTCATTACTGACTTCCGAGTGGCGCAGTGGTCTAAGGCACTGCATCTCAGTGCTTGAGGCGTCACTACAGACCCCTGGTTCGATTCCAGGCTGTATCACAACCGGCCGTGATTGGGAGTCCCCTAGTTAAATAAAACAAATACCATCACACAATAAAACATTCCATTTTCATTTAAAACTGAATGACAAACACATACAACCCTCAGAAAACTGGACACATGAATGTTCTTGCAATGTCCCATGAAATGTGTCTAGAACATTAATAATGGATATTCTGAGAACATGGTAACCATGTTCTGAGTAAGTTCTGTTTTACATTAAGGGAACGCCAAAACATGCTAAATAGGTTCTCAGGAGGTTTTTGCAAACATACATAGAATGTTCCCATAACTAACGGAAAACTCGACACTCAAACATCATGGGAACATTATGGGTAACATTACAAAAACGTTTGCTCTCCTTAGAATTGTTAGCTGTGTATATGCCCTCTATAATGCATATGATAATGTGTGCATTTATTTTAGTTATTCTTTCCAATATCAGAGCTCCATTTAGAATTCATAGGTGTATGGTAAACGTGAACGGCCTATTAAACTTCATGAATTCATTCCATGGGAAAATGTCAAGCATTTTACATAATGTTTATTTACCATGGACCTATAGCATAGGCCTGGAGTGTATTCATTTTTATGTCTAACTTTGCATAAAAGGTTAATATTGTCTTAGATTTTTTAAGCAACAAAGTAGGCTTAGGGTAAGCAATATAATTTATGCACACTGCAGACATTTTAGACTGGTTCGCTAGGGTGAAGTCAAACTCCACTGTACAAAAATAACCTTTGGACCAAACGGTATGAAAGGTTAGATGGAAAACTGATTCCAAAAGGCAAGAACTGTTTTTTGCTCATAGGAGTAGGCCATTAGTAAAAGATGTGTGAACAGTTATCAGATAAATATGGGGAAGAAAACACAGCACTTTTGACTAAAACCACATTGTTGGAACGATGTCACTTTCTAGTGAACTAAATGAAGTATCCAGTGTCCTTCAAGCAAAAAACATGAAATGAAGAGAAGTTAAAATACATATAATATGGTATTAGAATGTCATGTTGACAGTAATATACAGTGCATGTAAAACCTACATTGGCTACAGGGTGACAGCAGTGACTGTATTTCTGTCCTGTCAGCCTTGAGCCTGTATCTCCACTGGGCCCCAGCAGCAACATGGGACCTTCTACAGTATCCGGACAGAGAAAAACGCTGCCTTCCTCAGGCTGACCAATGAGAAGATCCACCTGCATACTGCTCACTCAGAGCTCCTGGGCTACTGGAGCGTTGAGTACGAAGGCTTGAACCAGGTCTTTCACGTCTGGAAGTATGGTGAGGAGGAAGCAGAGAGCAAGCTAGGCAGAGAGCATGGAATGGTAGGCCCATTCCCTGTGGAATTCAGTCAACTCAGGAAATGCATTGAAATTGTATAAAGGAATGTAAATTCACCTTCAATAAGAAATCACTCAAGTTTGAATTTCCAAATTCTAAATTGACTGTAATGGAACCTACCCTAACTCAAGCCCAGAGAACTCCAATGTAAAATAAGCCATTGTATCTTATGTATACAGTGAATTCGGAAAGTATTCAGACCCCTTGACTTTTTCCACATTTTGTTACGTTACAGCCTTATTTGAAAAATGATTAAGTTGTTGTTTTTCCTCATCAATCTACACACAATACCCATAATGACAAAGCAAAACAGGTTTTTAGAAATGTTTGCATATTTATTATTACATTTTACTCAGTACTTTGTTGAAGCACCTTTGGCAGTGATTACAGCCTCGAATCTTCTTGGGTATGACGCTACAAGATTGGCACACCTGTATTTGGGGAGTTTCTCCCATTCTTCTCTGCAGATCCTCTCAAGCTCTGTCAGGTTGGATGGGAAGCGTCGCTGCACAGCTATTTTCAGGTCTCTACAGAGATGTTCAATCGGGTTCAATTCCAGGCTCTGGCTGGGCCACTCAAGGACATTCAGAGACTTATCCCGAAGCCACTCCTGCGTTGTCTTGGCGTTGTCTAGGGTCTTTGTCCTGTTGGAAGGTGAACCTTCACCCCAGTCTGAGGTCCTGAGCGCTCTGGAGCAGGTTTTCATCAAAGATCTCTCTGTACTTTGCTCCGTTCATCTTTCCCTTGAACCTGACTAGTCTCCCAGTCCCTGCCACTGAAAAACATCCCCACAGCATGATGCTGCCACCACCATGCTTCACTGTAGAGATGGTGCCAGGTTTCCTCCAGACGTGACACGGCATTCAGGCCAAAGAGTTCAATCTTGGTTTCATCAGACCAGAGAATCTTGAGTCCTTTAGGTGCCTTTTGGCAAACTCCAAGCGGGCTGTCATGTGCCTTTTACTGAGGAGTGGCTTCCGTCTGGCCACTCTACCATAAAGGCCTGATTGGTGGAGTGCTGCAAAGAAGGTTGTCCTTCTGGAAGGTTCTCCCATCTCCACAGAGGAACTCTGGAGCTCATTCAGAGTGACCATCGGGTTCTTGGTCACCTCCCTGACCAAGGCCCTTCTCCCCCGATTGCTCAGTTTGGCGAGGCGGCCAGCTCAAGGAAGAGTCTTGGTGGTTCCAAACTTCTTCCATTTAAGAAGGATGGAGACCACTGTGTTCTTGGGGACCTTCAATGCTGCAGAAATGTTTTGGTACCCGTCCCCAGACCTGTGCCTCGACACAATCCTGTCTCGGAGCTCTACGGACAATTCTTTCGACCTCATGGCTTGGTATTTGCTCTGACATGCACTGTCAACTGTGGGACCTTATATAGACAGGTGTGTGCCTTTCCAAATCATGTCCAATCAATTGAATTTACCACAGGTGGACTCCAATCCAGTTGTAGAAATATCTCACGGATGTCAATGGAAACAGGATGCACCTGAGCTCAATTTCGAGTCTCATAGCGAAGGGTCTGAATACTTATGTAAATAAGGTATTTTTTTTTTTTTTTAATACATTTGTAAGAATTCTAAAAACCTGTTTCTGCTTTGTCATTATGGGGTATTGTGTGTAGATTGATGAGGAACAATTTTTATTTAATCAATTTTAGAATAAAGCTGTAACGTAACAAAATGTGGGAAAAATCAAGGGGTCTGAATACTTTCCGAATGCACTGTATATCTCACTATCTCCTATTGTTGTGTTCCTATCTAGACAGCTATGCCCAGGGGGCGGGTGTGCGAGCATCCTTGGCTCAGGACCCCAACTGGATTGAGGAGTACATCTCCAAGGCCATGCCCATGCTGACATCTCAGGACAACGAGGTCACCTATCTGCCGCCCTGGAGCAAGGTGGAAAGGCCTCCCAAGGAAGGTGGTGAGTAGCTGAATGAAATAATTACCCTCGCATCTGACACTGATGGATTAGTAGTCCCTAGGCAGAAATTAACAGAACTTCTCATTTTTTTCTAGTGTGTGTGTGTGTGTGTGTATGTGTGTGTGTGTGAGAGAGAGAAATAAGAGCATTGTGTATTGACCTCCTGTGTTAATTTCCATGGACCACTAATCTAGCACTAATCTTGTAAACAACAGAGCTGTTTTTGTTGGGCAGTTATGTCTGTACACATTCCTCGTAGGTACTGGACAGCACTGTGTGTGTTTTTTACAGGAAATGAAATCAGCACTGTTTTCGCAAAGAGGTGATGAGTCTGCATTAGTGATTTCACCATAGGGAGGAGTTCCTAACTCCCTTTCACACAGATACACTTTAGCCAAGTAGTTTTTGCACATTACATTCATACACAATTGATAAACAAAATCACTGTGTTCCAATTAGGTAAAATACCCTGTCAATACTAAGTTTCCCTAGCCAATGAGTTTGTTTATGTGTGTGCTATGTGTTGCGTCACCTTACATAGTTGAATGCAGTTGGTAAACTGCTCAGGAATAAAGTGTCTGCAAAATAACTAAATATAAAAAAGTGGGTATAGGAGCTAGTGGTCGGTTTGGAATTGTGCATGTGTTTCAGGAGTGTATGAGTTGGCGTCCTTCCAGATGCGTCTGGGGAGTCCAGCAGTGTGGGGGGAGGCCTTCCAGGCTGCAGTCAGTGCCCACGCTGCCGGGGGGCACGCCCACCTGGTGGGGGTCTTTCACAGCGAGTTTGGACGGATCAACAAAGGTACAGTGAGGACAGGGACTAGGTCAATGGTGATCAGGATGAAACTATATAATACTACATGGGTAACACTATGAGATCCAGTGAGGGAGAGTGTGACCTACCTGGAGTCATGTTCCCCTGCCCCTACTCTCCCCTCAAGAGATCTCACACTGAAACCCGGGATTGAAGAGACTAAACCTCAACTGGGTCTGATATGCTGTCAATCTAATACTGTTTATAGACCTAAGTAGAGGTAATAAAGCACTACTGAGATTTCTTATTAAATCAGTGGACCAAATGGTGATCCTATCATCTAAATGTGATAGACATTAGGACTCAAATAATGTATTACTTGTAAATTTATATATAAATTAATATATAACGGACACTCTGGACCAAGTTTAGGACCACAGCTATAACAATGTTTATCATTCTTAGGTTTGGGCGGTATCCAGATTTTCATACCGTCAAACCGTTTCAGTACCATACCGGGGTATACGGTATTACCGAATGTGCATACAAGGGGTGCTATTTACAATTTAGGCAACAGGGATCTTAATCCAGGAGGGGTATTGCTACTGGGCGGTAGTCATGGTTACCATGGCTTTCTTGGGCACAGGTATTATGGTGGTCTGCTTGAAACATGTAGGTATCACAGACTGGGTCAGGGAGAGGTTGAAAATGTCAGTGAAGACACTTGCCAGCTGGTCAGCGCATGCTCTGAGTACGCGTCCTGGTAATACGTCTGGCCCTGCGGCCTTGTCAATGTTAACCTGTTTATAAGGTCTTATTCACATCGGCTACGGAGAGCGTGATCACACAGTCATCCGGAACAGCTGGTACTTTCATGCATGGTTCAGTGTTGCTAGCCTCGAAGCGAGCATAGAAGGTATTTAGCTCGTCTGGTAGGCTCGCGTCACTGGACAACTCGCGGCTGGGTTTCCCTTTGTAATCCGTGATAGTTTGCAAGCTCTGCCACATCAAATTCAATCAATCAATCACATTTTATTTATAAAGCCCTTTTTACATCAGCAGATGTCACAAAGTGCTATACAGAAACCCAGCCTAAAACCCCAAACGGCAAGCAATGCAGATGTAGAAGCACTGTGTCTAGGAAAAACTCCCTAGAAAGGCAGAAACCTAGGAAGGAACCTAGAGAGGAACCAGGCTCTGAGGGGTGGCCAGTCCCCTTCTGCCTGTGCCGGGTGGAGATTATAACAGTACATGGCCATTAAGGCCAGATATTTCTCCAAAATGTTCAAATGTTCATAGATGACCAGCAGGGTCAAATAATAATCACAGTGGTTGTAGAGGTTGCAACAGGTCAGTACATCAGGAGTAAATGTCACTTGGCTTTTCATAGCCAGGCATTTAGAGGTTGAAATAGCAGGTGCGGTAGAGAGAGAGAGTTGAAAACAGCAGGTCTGGGACAAGGTAGCATGTCCGGTGAACAGGTCAGGGTTCCATAGCCGCAGGCAGGAGAGTGGAAACTGGAGCAGCAGCACGACCAGGTGGACTGGGGACAGCAAGAAGTCATCAGTCCAGGTAGTCCTGAGGCATGGTCCTAGGGCTCAGGTCCTCCGGGATGGGAGGGAGAGAGGGAGAGAGAGAGCATCAGTGCCGGTGTAGTAGGATTCGATCTTGTCGTGTATTGACTCTTTGCCTGTTGATGGTTCGTTGGAGGGCATAGCGGGATTTCTTATAAGTGTCCGGATTAGTGTCCCACTCCTTGAAAGCGGCAGCTCTAGCCTTTAGTTCAGTGTGGATGTTGCCTGTAATCATGGCTTCTGGTTGGGATATGTACGTATGGTCACTGTGGGGATGATGTCGTCGATGCACTTATTAATGAAGCTGGTGACTGATGTGGTAAACTCCTCAATGCAATCGGATGAATCCCGGAACATATTCCAGTCCACTTAGCTCGCAAGTTAGCAAACCAAATGCATAGCTGGATATAATTTGTGCAGATGACCTGGTTTGTTTCCGGCGAAGATGGGAGAAGATGATTGACACATCTTAGATTTCTTATAGTTATACTTAACTTATAGTTATAAGCAGTGGTATGCACATACCCCCGCAGCCACTGTATTGAAAATCATACCTATAAACGGTATATCGCCCAAGCCTAATCATTCTATTGAACACTGTTCAGTCTTATAACAACAGATGTCTGTTGTGAAACGTGTTTTTTTGCTGTTAACTACTTAACAAAATCTGTTACCTCCAGCCATCTTCTTTCAGTTGCTATGAATCAAACAGTATTATGTTAGTAATAATGGATTAGATTTATATTGTATCTATTAATAGGTATGGATAATTGTGCCTTATTCATCATGTACATTCCACATGAATACTTGTCTGGACTACCTACAAGAATGCTGTTGTTGTAGCCTTTGTCAATAAGAGGGCTATGTGAATATAAGACCGTTAAAGACCCATTTAAAAATGAAACATTCTGCTGAAGTGTGGTTTTAGACAGGATTAAGTTGTGAACTTTACCGCCACGTTGACACAAGATAAAGATATGTTCAGTTTTATTGTGTAAATAAGAATTGTACAGGGGCGAGTAACAGATATTCCCACAGCCTTTCTCAATACATTAAAAACGTAAACGGCTATTAAATAAAGTACATTTTCTTGGTAGAACAATAAACGATTGTATACATGGTCTGTGGAAATTCCCGTGCAAAAAAATATTCCAATTAACACCACAAATAAAGTGCTTGAAATGTCGAACTAGCCTCATTTCAGGCAAGCTTTGTGTTTCGAAATACTGACACTTTTTACCCAAAGGACCATTTATTAATTTCACAATAAATGGCACTTGACTGCATCAGTCTTTGCAGATACAGGACAAGCCCACAGGTCACACTTTATGCCAGAAATAAAAAACTGACTCGGCACTGTCAGCTTTGAAAAAAACATATATATGTTTTGCAGACGCTCTTGTACAGAGCGACTTACTGGAGCATTTAGGGTAAGTGCCTTGCTTAAGGGCACAGACATCTTTTTCACCTAGTTGGCTCAGGGATTCAAACCAGTAACCGAAATGCTCTTAACCGCTAGGCTACCTGCCACCTTACAGTAGGCATGATCATGTCATTTGATTTCCTATTATCAACCCATTGAGGGGATGTTTCTGTTCTCTGCTAGTGGTTAGGCAGTGAAAATAGTGTCATTCAAACAGTTGATTTGTCTGTCAGGGCACTGTGGTATGTATGTTGAGGTATTCATTGCAAACTGATAGTCTTAACACCCAAACAAATCTTTTCATTTTCTTTTAAAAAAGCTATAAAATCTATTGTTTCCTTTTTTTAAACTGGTACAGTACTTTGCGTAGTATACATTGAAAAGTGTACTTAGTCACTGATTGGTGTGTTTCAAAATGGCTGAGTCCACTACTGAACTAAAAGAAGGAAGAACATTCATGATTACAGTAATGCCACAATGGACTCAGCCAAACATAATTAAAAAAAAATATTGTTTATATATTCATGATCAATTTACATATATAAATAAAAGGTACATCTTTAAAAACATAAATCAAACAGAAGAAATTCAGATTGGCCATGGAAATGATTGGGTTTCTTCATCATGTAATTCTGGTATTGGAACACAAAACAGAAAGAAACAGACCCTGAATTTTCATTGGTAGAAACCAGTTGGAATTACACAAAGTAGAAAATATCGCAGTTTCCACAAAAATATACACCGCCACAGCCTAACATCTGCTGAAGCACATGATACAATTATGGCAGTTATTCAAGTTTAATACTTTTTCTTTCTCCTTAATGACTATTGCGAGGGGCCCTCCTGGGCCCCAACTCGCTTCAGTATGAGTGGGAAACTTTGCATTGACTTGCATTGAGCTTTCCAGCCAGGCCCTTCCGAAGGCAACACCTCTGGCTGAAGAATTAAAACAAGTATTAAAACACTACTGTAATAGTACAGAGAAGCAAACTCAGTCCAACACTGTTTGTGGGTTTAGGTTCCAGTTGTGGGTGGAAGATGGTGTCCGTCCCTCTCACACCAAGCTCTCCTTTAGCCTCTCCTCGGCTAGCTTCTCTTCAGCCTGCCGCGAGCTGAGCGGGGTAATGTCCACCACCGCCTCTTTGCGCTTTACTGAATTGTCTTTTGAGTGGTAATCGTCACTCTGGTCCTTGGCAAAGTTCACAAACACCTGGTAAAGAAGAGACAAAAGAGTCAGCTGTCATCACTGTACATTCCAATCCAGTCGACTAATCAAAGAACATACAGAAAGGTGCAAATGCATGGTGCTGTAATCCAAAAGTAATGACATTTTCAACGAAAATACATTTTGACCACAAAGCCTTTAGTCAGTGATGGATGGCGTCTTACCTGGTCCAGTGTGGTCTGCGACACAGAGTAGTCCTCTATCCGGAGCAGGTTCTTGTTCTTGGCCAGGATGCTGAAGATGTGTGCCAGGGAGGTGAGAGAGGAGGACAGCTGGTACTGCAGCATGTTCCTGTGCTTCTCCTTCAGGGTGCTGCCCGGCAGCTCACTCTCAATGAACTTCATCACCGGCGGCAGGTCAGGGTCCGGCCCCGCCACACGCAGAATGATGGTGTAGCCGTCTCCGAACCTGGAGAGATGGAGGGAAGGAAGGAGAAAATAAAAACAAAACAAGATGAGCATATTATAATTAAGTGAGAATGCCAGAGAAGCCGGTGTTTGGAGGATATATCGGCACGGGTGTTGTTAGGCCCGAGATGAAGTCGATAATGTCTAGATGCTTTTTATAGTGGAGATCAAGTTTATAAATTGCTTGGCTGGGCTGATGAGACAGTGGATTGCGCAGTCAGATGGAACAGAGTAAATAGGTATTTTAACGTCATAGATTTAGCCGGTGGTAACTTGTGGAATAGACACTGGCTGGAATGCGGTTTTAACCAATTAGCATTCAGGGTTAGACCCACCCGTTGTATAATCAATTTATAATTTGTGCCAACTTATTGAAAGTCATAACTTTGTAGGTATTGGCTTGCTTTATATGAACCAGTGAAAGGACTTGTCATCTTACCTGTTCTTTAGATGCTGAACGCTCCCCAAGCAGCGGAACCTGCCATTGACCATGATGGCCATTCTGGTGCACAGGGCCTCACATTCCTCCATACTGAAGACACAAAATGGCAGACACAGACATTAGATACTGTGTAAAAGAACTGCTGAACTAGAAACCACATCCCGGCAAAGGTTGAACTATGTCAGTATCAATTTTGGAACTCAGTCGAGGTCTCAACTTACTGTTGAGGGTTAGAATAGTAGGATACACAAGGTGCAATTTAGAAATGTTGTTGTGCATCTGCAGTTTTTCTCTTGTTATGTCAGTCACTGATAGTCACTCAATTAGCCCATGTCAGCTAAAATCTTTTAGATTGCTAAGTTAGTTTAACTGCCAGCTATCTAAACTTGAATAACCAGCTGGGAGGCCCCCATTGATTTTGTTAGTCTGTCTCACTCAGATATCATATTAAAAACTGCATACATTTCTCTCCACCCTATGAAAAAATGTCAAGAGAGGGAGCCACTAAAATGTTTTGCTCGCAGTGTGGGGGGAGGGTATAGATGTGGGTACGCAGACACGCAAGCAACTGCGGCCCCTCCTGATGAGTCCAGATATTTTTGTGGCCCCCACCTCCATCAAAGTTGCCAATCCCTGGGCTCCATAGTGCTAATGAGGTTTTCCTAACCGCAGCCTATACCAATCAACAGCAACAACAACCATGCATTTCAAAGTATAGCAGTTAGCTATACTGGCCCTCCTGTAGCTCAGAAGGTAGAGCATGGCGCTTGCAACACCAGGGTTGTGGGTTCGATTCCCACGGGGGGCCAGTATGAAAAATGTATGCACTCACTAACTGTAAGCCGCTCTGGATAAGAGCGTCTGCTAAATGACTAAAATGTAAATGTTAGCTTTTAGCCTAGCATGGCTGAGGTGTTAAGGTGTTTCTGGTTACCTGTGTGAGGTGAGCACCACGGAGCGTCCCTCCTTGATGACGCTGTGGATGCAGTTCCATAAGGCCCTGCGTGCTTTGGGGTCCATCCCAGTGGTGGGCTCGTCCTGTCACAAAGAGCACAGCCAGGTTGAGGTTGGCCCACAGGTTGAGCAGGAAACACACAGAGAAGACCAGCAGCAGGGGGAAGCAAGGCATCATGGTCCTCCTAGTGCTGAATTATGCGATGACAAATGCTAAGCACTTGCTTTCTCTCTTGGTTTCTTTCTCCCTCCCTTTTCTCTCGATGTCTATCGCTCTGGTTCTGTCTCTGCCTCCTCCATTTATCCCTCTCTCAGTTTGAAACAACATCAACAGCTGATCTCTCTGCAGCCCAATAGGAGCAAAACAAAAGCATACAATTTTCCAGGAACCCTTTGAGAGGACTGTGGCGTGCCAGCGGGAGAATTGTAATCTAACCCTCGTTACACAACCCTTGCAGCTGCAATCCCCACCGGGAGAACAATTAAACACCAGTCATCTGATTTAGAGGTCACTTGATATTTCACATTGAGGTCACTGCGAAGCTGGTGCAACCGGTCTGATCCCCTTGTGTTAGTTACACCATGTGTTGATGTTTACAGTTTATGTAAGTCTCTGTTTGTGTGTATGTGTGTTTGTGTGTATGTGTGTGTGTGTGTGTGTGTGTTGGGACATAGTGCGTACCAGGAACACAACGGGTGGTCCTCCTATCATGGCCATGGCAGTGGAGAGTTTCCTCATGTTTCCTCCGCTGTAGCTTCCTGCTGCCTTGTCCACATACTTTACTAGGCCCAGCTTACGGATGCCCCATTCAGCAACATCGCATACTTCCTTCTCGGGCACGCCACGCAGGACGGCGTAGAACTCTAGGTGCTCTCTTCCCGTCAGCAGGTCGTTGATGGCGTCAAACTGGGGGCAGTAGCCCATGTTCTGGTGCACCTCGTCTATCTCCCGCAGTATACTGCCAAAGCAAAATAAGTCAGTTCATCTCACATTTAGACTCACTGCTGAACCTCTCTACTGTAATACCTAGTGTGTGATCTCTGGCACAAAATGGCTGCTTCACCTTTTTCCAGCCAGGAAAGCCTCTCCACTCGTGACTATGGAGTCTCCTGTCAGCATTTTGAAAGTGGTGGTCTTTCCAGCTCCGTTCACACCCAGGAGGCCAAAGCACTGAGAGATAAGAAAGAGAGTTAATATCAGTGTTCAAATATACAGAAGGAGATTGAAAGAGATTGCATGTCATTGCATTGTGTATTTACTAGATTAAATGATCTAATCTTACCTCGCCAGGAGGGATGCCCACACACAGACGGTCTACAGCCGGCTTCTGCTTCCTCTTGTAGACCTTGGTGAGCTGTCGGAGCTCCAGGATATCTCCGTGTCCCAGACCGTTGACGATCCTCTGCCTCTCTCTGGCCACGTCCTCGTCCTCCTCGCCCACCGGAGGGAGCTTGGTGTGCAGGTTAATGGGCTTGATGCAGAAGCGGTACTGGATGAGGACAGTGATGATGAAGAAGACCACTCCTTCCACGGCCATGGCAAACAGGTTCTTGCCCACCATGTCCCACTCCAGAGGGGATCGGAAGCGGTTCTCACCTGTGTACAGGCGGAGTGTGTTTCAAAAGACACCTCTACGTTGAATTGCATAGAGAAATGGGTCATGGGAAATGCAGTTCTTACCGAATCTCTCCAGAGCGTCGGCCATGGCCTGGTTCTTCACCATGTCGATGAGGCCTCGGCCCAGACAGAAGTGAGGGAAGATCAGCAACACGTTCTTCAGGATGTCATTGATACCTCCAATCTCCTGAAGAGGAGGAATATTTAACCCTTTATGTCACCAGGTAAGTGGATTATTAACAAATTATCTTCTTTATTTATTTTTTTACAATATGGCTTCCTTAGGTTAGGATGAGCATACCACGTTATGTAGCCAATGTGTGGTGTCACTTACGTTATTTCCGAAGAGCTCCATGACGAAGGTGGAGATGCTGCCGTTGATGCCGATGAGGATGTTGACGGAGGTGAGCACCACATAGGCCGTGCTGGGGATCTTAAAGAAGAATGATGCCGGATACATCAGAGGAGTGATAGACCAGCCATAGAGGAGCAGCAGCAGAGCCAGCACTGGCAGGTTGGTGGACGACACGTAGGCCTTTTGTTGGAAGCACACGAAGATGATGATGACGAGCGTCGCCGGGACGATGTAGTTACACTGCAACACAAACGAGATGACAAGGTTAGCAGTCAATCAATAAAACAAATTATGTTCATGTAGCGCTTTAACACTCGTAGAAAAAAGCTTCTAAATGCTATTGTAAGGGGCTTAATACAGTGGTATTCCATCCACTAGGGGGCACTCAGGAGAAGCCCATGGGAAATAAAGAAGAAAAGTTTGAGTGGACTGAGAGAGGAAGAAAAACTAAAAAAAGTGCTTTTACATCGTGCTGACATGACTAAAATTCAAGTAAACAGTACCTTTCGCGTTGGAGTTTATATTATAAGCTCATAGAAAGGGTAACACTATGCGTTCTCACCATATCCCAGATGAAGTTGGCTCGTCCAGTAGAGCAGGGGCTGCACGCCGCTGATGAACTGCATGTGCTTGGCCTTGCTCACTCTCTCATGGATGAGGAAGACTACGAAGCTGGCTGGGACGAAGGACATGGCGAAGATCACGCAGATGGACACCAGCACGTCCACTGAGGTGGTCATCCTACAGAGAGGGGGAGTTAGGTGGTCCGTGGACACAGAAAGGAGAATATACTGGGCACACTTTACAAATTCCACATTCTACTAGGTAATTTACATGAACTAGGTAAGTGACTTCAGTGATGTCATTGTTCCAAGATGCCTGTGGCGTGGGTACATACAGTGCCACCTGGGACAGCTGCTCCTTGGTGAGGTTGAGCGGGTGGTTGAAGGTGCGGATGCCAAACTTGCTGGGGTCCTGGCCAGGGGGCAGGTTGGCGCGCAGGATGCCATTGTTCATCACGTTGAGAAAGGCTCCAATGCTGTGCCACCCCTTGTTGTTGAACCAAATCTTGACATTGTTCTTGGTGTCCAGACCATTGATGAAGCTAGACAAGCTCTCCAGGAATCGGTCTGTGGCTGCACCCTGAAAACAAAGAATAACAATGGTTTAGATTGGTGGCAGTGATGTTGTGTTCAGTGGCAGGAACCGAGGTATAGTGAATGTGGGAATGAATGAATGGAAGTCTCACCTTCTCCAATTCGAAAATCTTCCTCACTCGAGCGATAGCGTCATCAACCTCGCCAGCTGGGGGGAGGACCTGAGTGCTCCTGGCGCCCAATGAAAAGCCACCGTACCTAAATTCATTCACCCAGATCTTGTTCTTCAAACTGTGAAAATATCAAATTAAGCATTATTATTGAATGTCAATTTAGGCTGGACAAAAATACTTGTATAACTCAATTATTGTACATGCTATATCATAACATTGTTATTAGAGGGATCAAATATATGCTATATATGAAAGTTATACCTTTTCCCAATGATCTCTGCATAGGTCTTCACTAGGTAGTCAGAGATGTTTCTGCCGGTCAGGTTTTGCAGGGTGTCTGTCTCGCTGATCTTCATCTGGGGTGGTGGCAGTCCTCCGGCTCCAGTAGGACACTCAGGGAGCATTTTTTTGCGGCCGTCACAGCTGCAGGTGCATGTGGGGGACGGCTCCTCCATGGTCCAGTTGCCCATGCGGAACAGTTCCAGAAGGGTCTCCGGGACCTCCGGTGTGGACCAGTCCTCATCACCCATCGTACAGGTAGTGTCACTGAGAGAGAGGGAGGAGGGAGAGAGAGATTGAGAGTCCTTATCTCCAAAAGAACATTGAAAATATGCCCTATCCGTCATGTTTATTTACTTAAAGACAGGAGAAATGGTGCAAATGGAAACTAACAAATAGCTATTTTATTCAACGCTGGCATATTGAGACTCACGTTATAGGCTGTCCTTCCATGCAACGCGTTCCAAACCCAGGGCCTTCGGTGAGGGCACTCAATAACCGTTGTGTGCTGGCATCTTCAGGGGCGTCATCACTGATGAAGAGGGACTGTTCTTCATACATCCACGGCTGCAGCTCCAGACTGGGGTACTTTCCAAAGGGCGGGACGATGAGACTGAAGACCAGGGCGACGCAAACGAACACTGCAGGGAGCACAATCTGAGCAAAGAAACCTTTTCTGGAGCGTTGAGCGTACAGGAACCTCTTCCATATCAAGGCGACAAACTGCTGCCTCTTCAGACTCCAGCCTTTCACCTGGTAGGAGCCTTTACCGTCCGAGCCGTTCAGGAAGTCTATCTCTCTGGATTCTGGGTCTGCGTCCGAGTCGTTATGTTCATTGTTGTCGTCGTCTATCTGGGGTCTAAGGCAGCTCTGGTGGTCTCCACCGAAGGCATTTCCTCCACCAAAGGCATGATGTCTACGACGTCTGGGCATAGGGAGAGTACCATCAGAGGGGACTTCAGTGTCAACTCCATTGTCCTCTGCCACTTTCAGGAAAATCTACATAATGAGATAAAAGAAAGGAATCAATCACACTATTCCCCTATGAAATGTTAAGCCCTTTCACGAAAAGCACACTATATAAATCCAACACATTATCTATTCAACGATCAATTCCAGCCGTACCTCTTCCAGGGTGGTGTCGGAGACACCGTAGCTGGAGATGCCTAGGTCGGGGAGGCGGTTGTCCATGTCCTTGAAGAGCTCCACGAAGGCTCCGTCCTTGGCGGCGCCGTAGGGCAGTACGTAGGTGAGCTCGTGGCCCAGGTCTTCTACCATGCGGGCGGCTGGGACATGCTTGAAGATCAGGCTAGAGATCAGGGAGACGTCGGGGGGCACGAAGGCACTTTCACAGATGGATGCAGCCTGGGCAGTTTCTATGGGTTGCACAAAGGTTGAGTGTCATAAACAAAGGTCATTCATATGACAACATACCATGTGCTGTATTGCAATGGCCAATTTTTTTGTCATATGATGTGTCAAATGCTTACCGATGGTGGCCGCTTCGCTCTCGTGTTCGCTGCCAAGGCCTGCGTCAGAGCTGCTCTCAGAGGGACAATCCTCCTCCTTCTTAGTGAAGGAGACGGTGCTGGAGGAGTTGTGGAAGGAGCTGAGGGAAGGTTCTGGGCCCTTCTTGACCAGGGTCAGATAGTAGCCTGTACCCAGCTGGTTCTTCAGGAAGAGGGAGGAGCCCACACAGCACAGCTTGCCATGGGAGATGATGGCGATGCGGTCGCCCAATATGTCCGCCTCATCCATGTGGTGGGTGGAGAGGATGATGGTACGACCTAGAGAGGGGGAGGGAAACAGTCAGTTATTACACAGAACTCCCCCCACAGCTAAATGGTTTCATTTTGTCAGTAGTTTCTTAAACATAGATTATAAAAATAGTTAAGGAGTTAGTGGTTACCTTGACGATATTGGAGCAGGAGGTCCCAGATGCCCCTGCGGGCATAAGGGTCGACCCCAGCGGTGGGCTCGTCCAAAATCACAACCTTTGACCCCCCGACGAAGGCTAGAGCCACAGAGAGCTTCCTCTGCATCCCTCCAGAAAGTGTGCTGGTCCTAGAAGTGCGTTTGTGTGGCAGGCCAGTGTCTATCAGGATCTGTTCGATCTCAGACTTCACCTGTTCCTCAGATAGACCCTTCAGACGAGCGTAGAACCAGATGTGCTCCTCGACAGTCAGCCTGGTCAAACCCCAAAACGACCACACAACAACCGCTCATAAGAAAACAATGTAACTATTTACTTAAATTATTTTGGTCATTAGAATTAACTTTCTGTAAAAACTGGTTGTTAATATGATGGATTGGGAACACTTACATGCTGAAGAGAACGTTGTGCTGTGGACAAACACCCAGACTCTGTCGAATAGCACTCAGCTCCGATCGGATGTCTTTGCCCATGATGTAAGCAGTGCCAGAGGTAGGGGGAAACAGTCCCGTTAGAATCGACCTGGATAAGACAAAGATGCAAATATTAGATTACTCCATTAAAATTGTATCAACGTCACATTCAACTCAGTTATACATGTATGGGCTTTTGTTCAGATGTTACTACTTGCACGTTATTGCACTTACATGGTGGTGGTTTTCCCTGCTCCGTTGTGGCCCAAGAAAGAGGTGATCTGTCCCTCGTAGAAGCCCAGAGTCAGCCCGTCCACAGCCAGCTTCTTCCCGTGCGGGTACACCTTGACTAGGTTCTCTATGAAGACGCCAGGTTTCAGGTGGGCTGGCTCTTCCTCTATACAGACAGCTGAAGACACAACACAACATCATGTCCATCAAATGGGGTACAATGACCATCCCATTTTCCTTTGCTTGAAAACACACACAACTACTCCAATTAATTTGCTCTCACAACCATTCTCTGGCAACACATTTTTGCCAGATCTATATCACCACCCTGTGGATACTCAGTTGCTCTGCATCAGCGTTAAATCTGGTTTTTACCTTCACAGTTCCTTCTCTTGTTCTGACTGAAGTCAGTCTTCCTGTTGTCTCCTTCTCCAAACCAGTAGGACTTGGAGAAGAGGAAGCACCAGGGCCTGGGAATACCATACTGACCTGAAGGAGACCACAACAAACACATACATTTAGACAACCCAAACAACAAAACAATGCAATACAATGCAAATGGCCTCAACATAAAGCCTATCAAATTGGGACCCAAACAAATCCACTATAGTGGAATAGTTCAGTTCACGGACACCTACCGGGGAAGACGGACTCGATGTACCAGGTCATCACCATGTAGAGGAAGGAGTCGAAGTACATCATGATGATGGCGGTGGTCAGGCTGAAGTCGTCCTCCTCCATGGGGCTGTTGAACAGGTTGTTCCACTGGATGCCGATGCCCTGCTCTTCGAACAGGGCAAAGTACTCACAGCCAAAGCCAAAGGCCACTGGGGACAGCAGGCTCTGTACAGAGAGAGCGAGAGAAGGAGAGAGAGGGGTTTAATATCACATACAACACCAATGCCAATAAGATGCTGAGCCTGAGGAGGTAACCATTAGCCGACAAAGTCAGTGATGTGTCAAAAGAGACAGTCAAATTCCAAACGTGTCTCGAAGAAAACGCTGCCCTATTTGTAGTGACACTGTACTTCTTAATTACATTTACATTTACATTTTAGTCATTTAGCAGACGCTCTTATCCAGAGCGACTTACAGGAGCAATGACAGCAGCTCCTCTTATAAAATGTAACGTGGACAACCACCAACTCAAAATATCTACTACATATAAAAGCGTGACTCACAGCGACTATTTTTGCCCCAAAGCCCACATAGTCCTGCCAGGCCACACAGAGGACATAGGGCAGGTAGAGGGTGAAATAGATGATACCCCCACAGGCCGCCGCCAGGTTGGCACGGGCAAACATGGTGCTGATGAGGAAGCACTGCATGATGGTTACCACGGCGAAGGAACCCAGGAACAGGAAGATGACACCGGGGTCACTGTATGGCAGCAAGTTCCCCATCTGATAGTAGGAGAGAGAGAAGAGGATGCTCAATGGTTAGTTAATAGTTGGGATGAACATGATACAATTATCGTGATATAAAATTCACTGTCTGATCGAGTCAAGGCCCACGTCAACATGAAATATCAATAAAAGCTATTATCGCGATACCGATATCACTGAAACATTGCAATACTGATATCAGTGAAATAGCGCAATGCAAAACATTGTCTTCATGCTAAATCCTGGTATGCAGTACCTTGAGCAGCACCACCAGCAGACTGGCGGAAATAAGCAGGGGGATGAGGCTGCTGATGAACCAGCTGAACCACAGGATGCCGTTGTCCAATCCCATGATCCTCATGGTCTCCTTGAGCCTCGCCTCCTTCTCGTAAACCACACTCTTGATGATGATGGCCACAGAGTACATCCAGGCCAGGGTCATGAAGAGGGGCATAGAGCGACTCATCACCCGCAGGAAGCTGGAGGACAGAGGTCAGAGGTCAAAGGAGGAAATGGAAGCCATTTTGAAGCCTTGCAGTTAAGCTTGTGGTATGCTGCCATTCAAGACAGATTCCAGGTCTAAAGGCGGTGAATAAGGTAAAATCCTGCTTGGTGTGACTCACATGTCGTCCACATAGCAGGGGTAGGGCATCTGTTGGATGTAGACTCCCGTCTTCTCCTTGGCGCCAGTCACTACTGTGATGATGCTGTGCTCGATGATGTCCTGGAGGTAAGAGAAGCCGCCCCAGATGTAGCGCAGGTCCTCAAAGGGGTCGGCACGAGGACCGGGGTCCCAATATCTGTAATGAGAGAGCAAAAGCAATGCTCAAACTCCCCTTCTGTAAACCTCTTACAAGGTTCACATCCAATTCTTCTTTAACCAACAAAACATAAAGTTTAAAGTTAATGTTCAAAATGGCCCCAATGGCACAGACATAAAACACTGTCCAATACATCTAGTAGGTAGATTGGGGAGCTTTGAATCAACATACCCGTCTTTGATCTTGTTGGTGCGCTCCACATTATCAATGTCCATACGGATCTTGTAGTTGACAATGGCCGGCAGTTCAGAGCTGTTGGCCTCAAAGTTGGGAAACACGATCCCTGCCCAGAACTTCCTATCGTCCAGGAGTGCCATGGATTTGTTGACCATCCTTTCCTCATTGGCCACGGGCTCCATCTTATCCAGGTTTACACACTGTAAACAAACAAACACATCCGTTAAAGGCCTATCCTCATCTGGTCTTGGCAAGGACTACTGAGTGTGCCTCCCGAGTGGCGCAGTGGTCTAAGGCACTGCATCGCAGAGATCCTGGTTCGAATCCAGGCTCTGTCGTAGCCGGCCACGACCGGGAGACCCATGGGGTGGCGCACAATTGGCCCAGCGTCGTCCAGGGTAGGGGAGGGAATGGCCGGCAGGTATGTAGCTCAGTTGGTAGAGCATGGTGTTTGCAACGCCAGGGTTGTGGGTTTGATTCCCACGGGGGGCCAGTATAAAAAATAATGTATGCACTCACTAACTGTAAGTTGCTCTGGATAAGAGCGTCTGCTAAATGACTTAAATGTAAATGTTTTCCATTGAAGTAGATCCATTCACATGCTGAAAGGAGGGATGGGGAGGCTTTAAATGGAAAGTTCGTCAGGTTCATAGCTAACTGGTCGAACTGTGTTTTTCTTTGTCATTTCCCATCATACAGTGGAAGAGGTTGGGACAAAGTAAAATGGCTGCCACACTGACTACTGTTTCCTCAGATGCAATTAGTATGTATTGCAGAAGGTGCTGAATAGTGACTTCACCAGAAAGGGATTTTTTATTACTGGGGCTGAGAAAGTGACTAAGAGATCCAGACAGACAGAGACAAACGAACAGACAGCCGGACGGACAGACAGACAGCCAGACAAAGAAAGAGAGACACTGACCTCCATGAAGCGGGATATGCTCATGATGGCCTGGTCCGTCTCGTTGAAGACTTCCCTCCAGGTGAAGGCGGTGCCGTGGGGACGCGTGTCCTCTGAATGTTTGGTCAGGAAGTTGGACACGTCCTCCACGGTCAACTCGGTGCCCGCCAGTTGGGTGGTGAAGAAGCTGGCGGTGCCATTGTTCTTCAGTAGGGTCTGGGAGAGAGGGGGGAAGAGCAGGAAAGTAGCTGTGAGTGGCTGAGGACTTTGTGGCACCGTCCCACATCCCTCCACAAGATGCCAGTGTTGACCATCTGAAAGAGCTGCTTACCACCATCTTACTTATAATCATGTATCTTCTTGTTTTGCTATGTTACTATGTCATGTCCTGGGTGTGTCTCTGAGTTACTCTGTACTGATGCCATTCTATAAGCCAAAATATTTTCAAAACTTTAAATAAAATATTAAGGGTATTCTACGACGGTGCTCTACAAGGGTAACATAGAGTGTCTTCAGAAAGTATTCACACCACTTGACTTTTTCCACATTTTGTTGTGTTACAGCCTGAATTTAAAATAGATTAAATTGAGATTTTGTGTTAATGGCCTACACACAATACCCCATAATTTCAAAGTGGAATTATGTTTTTAGAAATGTTTGTCAATAAGTATTCAACCCCATTGTTATGGCAAGCCTAAATAAACAAATCACATAATAAGTTGCATGGACTCACTCTGTGTCCAATAATAGTGTTTAACATGATTTTTGAATGACTACCTCATCTCTGTACCCAACACATACAATTATCTATAAGGTCCCTCAGTCGAGCAGTGAATTTCAAAAACAGATTCAACCACAAAGACCAGGGAGGTTTTCCAATGCCTCGCAAAGAAGGGTGCCTATTGGTAACTGGGTAAAAATAAAAAAGCAGACATTGATGGTGTACCAATAAACCCAGTCACTTCCTAACTCAGTTACCGAAGAGGAAGGAAACCGCTCAGGGATTTCACAATGAGGCCAATATAGTATACCAAACATTAGGAACACCTTCCTAATATTGAGTTGCACCCCCCCCCTCAAAACAGCCTCAATTCGTCTGCGGGTTTTCGCTCCTCCCTTGTACTTGATTGATGAATTAATGTCACTAATTAGTAAAGAACTCCCCTCACCTGGTTGTCTAGGTCTTAACACTAGGCCCTCCATTGAATGAGTTTGACACCCCTGGTCTTGCCCATTCACCTGCTTTATGGTTGTCTCAAGGCTTACAAATCCTTCTTTAACCTGTCTCCTCCCCTTCATCTACACTGATTTAAGTGGATTTAACAAGTGACATCAATAAGGGATCATAGCTTTTACCTGGATTCACCTGGTCAGTCTATGTCATGGAAAGAGCAGGTGTTTCTAATGTTTTGTACACTCAGTGTAAGAGTGATGTTGGCTGTAGTAGAGACAACAGATTAGTCAGACATACCCTTACTAGGTCCATCTGTTCGCTGCTCTCCATGAAGGTCCAGGCCTTGGGCCTCACCTCTTCCCACATGCCCCCCAGCTCTCTGAGGACCCCCAGCTCCTGGAACGTTCTGTTCACCTGCAGGAGAGGACGAGAGCAGGACAGTTAGTGTTTTGCTTAAGACAAGCTAAAGCAAAACTACCTCTTAACACAGAAATGAACTCTGGATGAAATGGAGCAATATCCTGTAGCTAAGTTGTATAGTATGACTGATACACACCTCGTGGATGATCTTCTGTGTGGCGGGGAGTGTCGGGGGTGTACAGGATCTTGCCCATGAGCAGAGGCTTCAGGGCCTGCCAGATCATCCTGGACACGGGGCTGGACTCCATGTTCCTCATCATTGCGTTGCAGTATGGAGCTGGAGGGGTCACAGAAGGAACAATGACGTCAGGTCTAGACCAGGATGTCACAACAATCCTCGAAACAGTTTGGCAATCAGGGAATAGATAACCATGAAGGAGAAGTTGCTTACTGGATGTGTTGTCGTAGGCAGAGATGGGTTCCTCCCCGTCGGTTGTGTTGTGGTTGCCGAACAGGGCCTTGTAGTTGCTGTCCTCGTACCAGTTGAGGGACTTGATCTTTAGTCCGCCGCCCTCGGGGTGGCCGCAGACGATGCGTGACACGGCCTGGTACATGTGGCTGGGGGAGGACGTTGCGTTCTCAGTGAGGAAGATGATCTCGTTACGCAGGTCGCTCCAACTCTTCATGCTGGCCAGCTAATTGAGACACAAGGGGTTGTGATGTTAGCAAATGGGGTCAGGAGGGGTCATCTTGTAGGATGCAGGTGGGACTGTGACCTGGACTTGGAGCAGTTCATTGTGATTCGAGACCCGCTTGTTGACATGGTGAGATGGATACATATTGTTATGAGGCAACTTGTCAGTGTGATGGAATTACTTCCGTGTGTGGATAGATTGATACTTTAGGCTTCACCTTCTACCTCAGCACAGCCATGCTAAAACCACCATAAATCACACCCCCTCGTGTATTAATGCTTTATTGATCTATTATGCTATTGGCTACCTTGGTTCTTAGTTCGGCTGACCAGAGCATTTTACAACAACCCGATTTTGCTGCCTTGCATTTCTGGTCACAATTTGATCTTGATACCGGATTATAAAAAGGGAGAGACTCTGAGCAGACTAGGAGCATTGAAAACACAACAACAGACCTCACTCTCTATTTCTACCCTAATTATTCTCTCTCTCTAACGCTGGTATCCTCACCCAGCATGAGGGAACCAAATAAGTGCTAGAGGGAAAAGATGACTCTCGGTCATTCATCACTGGGGCGGAGGGGAAGAGAGGTGTTCCCGGCGACTGGCGACTCTCCCAGAGCCTATTTGACAATGTGGTTACATACATGCCAGTCAGCCCCTCCCCTTCCCTCCTCTCCGTACAGACGGACACATCAGCAAGAAGGCAGTCACATGCTTCCAATTTAGCCCGGGCAGCGCATCGGGAACGGAGTGTGTGTGTGTGTGTGTGTACGCGAGAGATGCGGGGGAAACAGCTGTACACACTGAACTCTCACACAAACAGTCAGAACCACATGACAGCAGCTCTGGACCCCTCTAAAGATGTCTGTGGGGGGTTGGTTGGGGTAGGAGGGTCCATACCCCATACATAACCCCAGGGTAATGTGCCAAACCAGGACAAGTCATATATAGTAACTCTGAGTTTCTTGACATCTTCAGATACATTGTTGGGCTTAGCAGGGAACAAAGAACAACAAAGTTTGTGTTTACAGAGTGCTGGGGTTGTTTCAGTAACTCTTAAGTGTAATTGCCCTAAAGACTGTACACCATACTGTAGTTTAGTTAAGAGCATTCATAAACACTACATAAACATTCATACATAGCTTATGACATGGGTATGCAGGTGCAACATACAGATGTAAGGTCTTAATTTGATCACTCTTTTGTTGCTGAGAATGTTCATGCACAGCAGGAAATGCAAACGTGTACTGTATTTGAGTTCTAAAAAGGCATCTATAGTTTGCAATTTCCACTTTGACATTTCTGACTTGATTTGCACTCACGAAAAATGTATCAGCCCCTACAAAAATGTCCATTAATTATAATCCACATAATAATTCACATTTCTTATTGCTGCAGGATTATGTTCCTGCTGTAGCAAACTGGCTAAAATTAAGATCCTACATCTGTACGTGTTTTCGGACATAATAATAAATGTATACTTATAGGGGTTATTCTTATTGATTTGAATGATTTTATTTTATTGTTGTAAGCAAAGGGCAATTCTATGGTAACAGAATGATGCTGAGACTGAACATTTTACAAAAACACATTTGAAGAACATTGCAGATGCAAAGTTTGGTAACAGAATGATGGTTTGTTGTCATGAATCCCGCTTCCTGAGTCTGTTTCTGCCTGAGTTGCCTGTTTTCTGTCTTGGAGTCTGTTTCCTGAAGGTTCCTGAACGCACCCTGTCTGGTTGCCGGGCGACGAAGCTAGGCGGGAGATCTCTCGATTACCCGCATCTGCATCTCATCAGCTATCTGCACACCTGGTCCTGATTATCACCACTTCATAAGCTCTGACCTGACATCCATTCCCTGCCGGATCGTTAGCCATGAACAGTATGTTGTGTCAGCGTATCAGCCTCAAGTTTACTAGAGTTAGTTTTGTTGTTTTGTACTTTTTGCTTGCCGTGTACTTACTTTAGTTTACTCTGTCTACGGTCATTCTCCCGGAACATTCACCCCACCCCTGCCTGGTCGTTGGTGGCTTCTGTGCCATCATTGGATCTGCCTATTCACTCCCACCAACTCACCTCCGCTGCCCGCTCCGTCTCCTGGATTATTCTGCTTCTACATTTGAATCTGTAAATAAATACTCACTTTCGTTCTATTCACCTTGTCCTGGTCTGCTTCTGGGTTCTGCTTTAGAGAATCGAGACATTTGTGCTGTTTGTGCCGTCATTCTGTTACCAAACTTTGCGTCTGCACTGTTCTTTAAGTAAATGTGTTTTTGTAAAACATTTAAAAGTCGTCGTTGTGCATCGTTGTATGGTTTGTTTAACTTTGCAATCATAGTTTTTTGTTTGACATACATTTTAAAGCAACACAAATCTGAGTCTTAGCATCATACTGTTACAGTGGAATTGCCCCAAAGTATTCAACAGAGCACTGATTGGTTGAGAAAACACAGCCAACATACTTGGGTAAGGTCGAGCAAGTCTTAAAGCCTCTTGTTTGTTGTCATAGGGGCATGCATTCACCTCGTGGTGTAAATCAGTCAACTTGAGTAGACTTTCCTTTTGGTAAATGCTGACCACCCCACTAACTTGTTCAGCTGTTCCCAGTCATCTATCTCCCGAGGAAAAAGGAGCCTTTCAATCTGGACTCAGAGACACTGGATACCTATACAGTTACTGCCAAGTCACTTACAAGGGCCCTTTTCTACTGCTGTGGAGGATAGTATAACTATAGCAAGAACACAGCAAGAATAGAGAGATTCTCCTGTTCAAACTGAAACATATAAATGTGTCAGACCTATAGTACTTGACTTCATAGAAATAGGTTTAGTGCCTCCATCCCATTCTATTCGTATATCTTTTCACATGAGAAAACTGTGATTATCATCACATTAGAACATTGGTAAACAGTTGTCCTTGACATTTAGCTGTGGCTCAAACGTCTAGGGGACGATTCCAAACAAATTGGGTCAGAAGGTTATCAGGCAACAAACAGCAGGGAGTTGAAGGGGGCAGCAAAACGCTACATACAGGTTTAGTCCAGCCTCTTCTTCTGCTGTGAAACTTCAAAGAAAAGAAGACCAGATGCAAGAAGTACAGTAAGGGGAAATTAGGTCGGGGGGGAGGGGGGTCTGTTGGCGGCCATCTTGTAATGATGGGATAAAAAAACTCCATTGATGTTTTCATCCTGTACATCTAAGGACCTGTTCTGTCTGTGGCCCTGCCAAGAGTAACCTGCTTCGCTGCTGATCCCAGGTAGGGGAGCTCATTATGATCGACATAAAACTAAACATGGACAAAATACCAGGAAATGCACTTGGCTAAGAGTGGCCTTATTCTGTGGATCTCCATCTGGTGACACATCGAACAACTGATAATGCTTCTAAATGATGAGGTTAACCTCAACAACCGCAATTACCAAATGTAAGACTATTTTCAATGCATGTGATAGCCTTCCAGGAAATGAGGCAGCAGCAGCAGAAACCTTTTTAGTTCAGAAATGTGTTTAGTGTTGTGATGAGAGTGATGCCCACCTCAACGGCCAGGGACCCCAGGCTCTCCAGAAGTTTGTCTATAGCCTCGGCCACTTGCTGGACAGCTTCAGGGTCAGCCCTCACATCTTTCTGTTGGTGGGAAGGAGAGAAGAAGTGTAAATTCACACATACAGTAGAAAAGACAAACAGTGACAGTCTGTCGGTTACCAACCACCCCCACAGTCCCACACCACAGCTTCATAACATAGATTTTCACAGGAGGACCCTTTCAATCAGGGTTATAGAGTCTGCAGTCAGAGATAAGTGATACTCATGAATGACTAACGTTTGAAGATTGAGGCCAAACCCTCTATTTGACGGCAGTTAGTTTTCAAACGTATCTCCAGAGGTAGGTCGACAGGGACAAGCAACAACATGCCTCCACCTGTGCTTACCCCCTTCTTTCTGATCCTCTGCTTTTCCCCGGGCCCCTACGCTTTGTTTGGTTCTCGGCACTGTGCACGTCAGTGAATTAGGTCACCTGGCTTTGGTCTTCAGTGGAGAAAAACAACCATGGGAGGGGGAGGGGGGCTGTATTGTGGTGGGACAGTATTTTTTGCTCTCTGTTGTGATAAGAACTGATCCTCCCCACTATATCAACTAGCTACGAGGGAGGGGTAAGGTCCCTTCTCCAAAGTCCCTAAAGGCTAGCCGAACCGAACAAGTGTACTCGCATATTCCCTGAAAAGACATTCGCTTGAAAAATGAGAAAAAAGTGGCAATAGTACGTTTTGTCCATTTTTAGATGCCGTAGCCAGAATTAATCTAAAATAACTCAAGAAATCTGTCATTCATTTTGAGTTTTTTGCAGAGGAGATCTTAGTCGCGCAATTTTACATCTAACTAAGATGTTTGGTGCAGTTTTTCTACATGAAAAAATGTGCATGAAAACGAGTCGTCTCTCATTGACTGACAACAAAGACATTATTGAAGAATCCCTACTGTTGACCAATCACTGACGAAGGGGTGTTGACTTTGGCTCTGAACTTCGGCTTGCCTCTAGAAATAAAATGGTGCCCGAACACCCCCCCAAATAAACACAGAACTCCAAACCTAACAAAAACGTCACAAAATGTTAGCATAATCTATCATTCCAGTGTTAATACGAAATTGTAACTATTTTGCACTATGGCCTATTTATTGCCTTATCTCCATAATTTACTACATTCGCACACACTGTATATATACAGTGGGGGGAAAAAGTATTTAGTCAGCCACCAATTGTGCATGTTCTCCCACTTAAAAAAGATGAGAGAGGCCTGTAAGTTTCATCATAGGTACACGTCAACTATGACAGACAAAATGATTTTTTTTCTCCAGAAAATCACATTGTAGGATTTTTAATGAATTTATTTGCAAATTATGGTGGAAAATAAGTATTTGGTCAATAACAAAAGTTTCTCAATCCTTTGTTATATACCCTTTGGTGGCAATGACACAGGTCAAACGTTTTCTGTAAGTCTTCACAAGGTTTTCACACACTGTTGCTGGTATTTTGGCCCATTCCTCCATGCAGAGCTCCTCTAGAGCAGTGATGTTTTGGGGCTGTCGCTGGGCAACACAGATTTTCAACTCCCTCCAAAGATTTTCTATGGGGTTGAGATCTGGAGACTGGCTAGGCCACTCCAGGACCTTGAAATGCTTTTTACGAAGCCACTCCTTCGTTGCCCGGGCGGTGTGTTTGGGATCATTGTCATGCTGAAAGACCCAGCCACGTTTCATCTTCAATGCCCTTGCTGATGGAAGGAGGTTTTCACTTTGGATGCAACTCAGCATTCTTTGTCCTCCAAACACAACGAGTTGAGTTTTTACCAAAAAGTTATATTTTGGTTTCATCTGACCATATGACATTCTCCCAATCCTCTTCTGGATTATCCAAATGCACTCTAGCAAACTTCAGACGGGCCTGGACATGTACTGGCTTAAGCAGGGGGACACGTCTGGCACTGCAGGATTTGAGTCCCTGGCGGCGTAGTGTGTTACTGATGGTAGGCTTTGTTACTTTGGTCCCAGCTCTCTGCAGGTCATTCACTAGGTCCCCCCGTGTGGTTCTGGGATTTTTGCACACCGTTCTTGTGATCATTTTGACCCCACGGGGTGAGATCTTGCGTGGAACCCCAGATCGAGGGAGATTATCAGTGGTCTTGTATGTCTTCCATTTCCTAATAATTGCTCCCACAGTTGATTTCTTCAAACCAAGCTGCTTACCTATTGCAGATTCAGTCTTCCCAGCCTGGTGCAGGTCTATAATTTTGTTTCTGGTGTCCTTTGACAGCTCTTTGGTCTTGGCCATAGTGGAGTTTGGAGTGTGACTGTTTGAGGTTGTGGACAGGTGTCTTTTATACTGATAACAAGTTCAAACAGGTGCCATTAATACAGGTAACGAGTGGAGGACAGAGGAGCCTCTTAAAGAAGAAGTTACAGGTCTGTGAGAGCCAGAAATCTTGCTTGTTTGTAGGTGACCAAATACTTATTTTCCACCATAATTTGCAAATAAATTCATTAAAAATCCTACAATGTAATTTTCTGGATTATTTTCTCTCAATTTGTCTATCATAGTTGACGTGTACCTATGATGAAAATTACAGGCCTCTCTCATCTTTTTAAGTGGGAGAACTTGCACAATTGGTGGCTGACTAAATACTTTTTTCCCCCACTGTATTTTCTGTTGTATTTTTGACTTTCTGTTTTGTTTACCCCATATGTAACTCTGTGTTGTTGTTTTTTATCGCACTGCTTTACTTTATCTTGGCCAGGTCGCAGTTGTAAATGAGAACTTGTTCTCAACTGGCTTACCTGGTTAAAAACTTCCTCCCACTCCCAACCAAGGGCCATCAGCCTCAGTCAAGCCCATCTCCGTAAACAAATCCCCTCCCTCTCAGGGAATGTTTCTGATTTGCTGATAAAATCAGTTAAACTCATTTGGGCCGTCCTCGCCTTGCTGGAAGGCCTCTGTTGGTTTCACAGCTCCTCTGGAAGCAGCAGCTTTTAGAAGGGGCCATAAAACAACTAGGGTTCTGATCAATAGGGTCTGCCCAAAGCCACGTTAATTAACCCCAGAGAAATGTCAACGTAACACGTGGCTATATGACCCTGTGGCCAGGTGGCAACAGGGCTCCAAAAAAAAAATGTAGGAGCACAACATAAAATCTAGGAGCACCAGAAAAGCTGACTTTTTTAATTGATTGAGATCAAGTCTATATTGGGCCTATATGAATTCTAGCTACTTTTTAAGCACATGCTGTGCACTAGAAACTAATAACCCTGGAAAGACATTGTTTAAAAGGCTACAATTTTGAAACAAACACCTGTCACTGAAATGACAAAGTAATTGGTGGAATATTAGGTTTCTACCTTTTGTAAAAGCAACGTTTTCCTATCGAGATGCATTACATTGAAAAATGTAGCATTGTCGCTTCAAGAATATCAAGAGATCAGTCATTCATTCCTTTATTGCAGTGGTCACTAACTTTTTCTGAGTCAAAATGCAAGCCAAGATCTACTGCTCAGATTTCTTTTTTTACATGACTTATAAAAACATAAGCCTATGCAACATTAACCTATTAAAAACAGTTATGTAGCAATGAGGTTTGTGCAGTTGGCTATAGGCCAAATGCATTATCACCGCCAATGCCCTGCCAATGTTATTCTTCTCAGACCATTTTAAAATTATATTTCAAAACTTAAGGTATGATCACACGGTAATAGATCAGTTGTTGTAAGCCTTTCGATACACTTTGATACTCATTCATTGCAGCTACAGTGTTGGTAGAAGCACATGTTTTGGCTTCTACATGTAATTATACAACAGGTGGGTCTAATCCTGAATGCTGATTGGTTAAAACCGCATTCCAGCCGGTGTCTATTCCACCGACCCGTAGCACTCAAGTCTGTAGCCATGAAGTGCTTTGAAAGGCTGGTCATGGCTCACTTCAACACCATTATCCCAGAAACCCTAGACCCACTCCAATTTACATACTGCCCCAACAGATCCACAGATGATGCAATCTCTATTGCACTCCACACTGCCCTTTCCCACCTGGACAAGAGGAACACCTACATGAGAATGCTATTCATTGACTACAGCTCAGCGTTCAACACCATTGTGCCCTCAAAGCTCATCACTAAGCTAAGGACCCTGGGACTAAACACCTCCCTCTGCAACTGGATCCTGGACTTCCTGACGGCCACCCCCAGGTGGTAAGGGTAGGTAACAACACGCTAATCCTCAACACGGGGGCCCCTCAGGGGTGTGTGCTCAGTCCCCTCCTGTACTCCCTGTTCACCCATGACTGCATGGCCAGGCACGACTCCAACACCATCATTACGTTTGCAGACGACACAACAGTGGTAGGCCTGATCACCGACAACGATGAAACAGCCTATAGGGAGGAGGTCAGAGATCTGGCCGTGTGGTGCCAGGATAACAACCTTTCCCTCAACGTGATCAAGACAAAGGAGATGACTGTGGACTACAGGACTGAGCACGCCCCCATTCTCATCGATGGGGCTGTAGTGGAACAGGTTGAGAGCTTCAAGTTCCTTGGTGTCCACATCACCAACAAACTATCATGGTCCAAACACACCAAGACAGTCGTGAAGAGGGCACGACAAAGTCTATTCCCCCTCAGGAGACTGAAAAGATTTGGCATGGGGTCCTCAGATCCTCAAAAGGTTCTACAGCTGCACCCTCGAGAGTATCCTGACTAGTTGCATCACTGCCTGGTATGGTAACTGCTCGGCCTCCGACCGCAAGGCACTACAGAGGGTAGTGCGTACGGCCCAGTACATCACTGGGAACAAGCTTCCTGCCATCCAGGACCTCTATACCAGGCTGTGTCAGAGGAAGGCCCTAAAAATGGTCAAAGACTCCAGCCACCCTAGTCATAGACTGTTCTCTCTGCTACCGCATGGCAAGCGGTACCGGAGCGCCAAGTCTAGGTCCAAAAGGCTTCTTAACAGCTTCTACCCCCAAGCCATAAGACTCCTGAACAACTAATCATGGCTACCCAGACTATTTACATTGGTCCCCCACCTCACACACACACCCTCTTTTATGCTGCTGCTACTCTGTTTATTATCTATGCATAGTCACTTTAACTCTACCCACATGTACATATTACCAAAATTACCTTGACTAACCGGTGCCCCCGCACATTGACTCTGTACCGGTACCCCCTGTATATAGCCTCCCTACTGTTATTTTATTTTACTGCTGCTCTTTAATTATTTGCTATTTTAATTTTTTACTTATCTATTTTTTACTTAACACTTTTTTTTATTTTCTTAAAACTGCATTGTTGGTTAAGGGCTTGTAAGTAAGCATTTCACTGTAAGGTCTACACCTGTTGTATTCGGCGAATGTGGCAAATAAAATTTGATTTGATTTGATTTGAATGCTGATTGGTTAAAACCGCATTCCAGCCGGTGTCTATTCCACATAAAAATGTAAACATGAACTCACTCATAAAAACAGCTTTGCTGTATTTGTTGACAATCTCTCTTATCATGATTTTAAAGTTTTGAAATCTCACACTATCAACTTTGCTGTGCGCTCGATTGGCCAGCCGTAGGCCTATAGGTGCACTTGATTTGCTCTCCGGCCCCGCGGAGTATGGCACTCGGAGGCAGCAGTACAGAAAAGTCTAATCATCACAATAATTATTCTGGGTGATTTCTTTTGTAGTCAAACTGGTGCTCTCATATTAAAATGTCAGGTCGCACAGCAAAGTATTTAGGAGCATATGCGACCTTAGAGCCCTGGGTGGCAATAACCTAGAAAAGACGTGGATCACTTCTGACGGGAGGAACGTCTCTTATGTGGTGTGTAAAGTTCGTAATGGCATCTTCTGACATTTCTATGCTAAAACTGACCATCTGACTGTAGATCAGTGTAACTTCTACCTCAAATCAAATCGTATTGATCGCATACACATATTTAGCAGATGTTATTGCGGGTGCAGCAAAATGCTTGTGTTCCTAGCTCCAACAGTACAGTAATATCTAACAATACACAACAATACACACAAATCTAAAAAGTAAAATAATGGAATTAAGAAATAGACTTAAGAACGGTATTAAGAAACCTCATTTATACCACATTATACATATATACAGTGGGGAAAAAAAGTATTTAGTCAGCCACCAATTGTGCAAGTTCTCCCACTTAAAAAGATGAGAGAGGCCTGTAATTTTCATAATAGGTACACGTCAACTATGACAGACAAATTGAGAAAAAAAAATCCAGAAAATCACATTGTAGGATTTTTAATTAATTTATTTGCAAATTATGGTGGAAAATAAGTATTTGGTCACCTACAAACAAGCAAGATTTCTGGCTCTCACAGACCTGTAACTTCTTCTTTAAGAGGCTCCTCTGTCCTCCACTCGTTACCTGTATTAATGGACCTGTTTGAACTTGTTATCAGTATAAAATACACCTGTCCACAACCTCAAACAGTCACACTCCAAACTCCACTATGGCCAAGACCAAAGAGCTGTCAAAGGACACCAGAAACAAAATTGTAGACCTGCACCAGGCCGGGAAGACTGAATCTGCAATAGGTAAGCAGCTTGGTTTGAAGAAATCAACTGTGGGAGCAATTATTAGGAAATGGAATACATACAAGACCACTGATAATCTCCCTCGATCTGGGGCTCCACGCAAGATCTCACCCCGTGGGGTCAAAATGATCACAAGAACGGTGAGCAAAAATCCCAGAACCACACGGGGGGACCTAGTGAATGACCTGCAGAGAACTGGGACCAAAGTAACAAAGCCTACCATCAGTAACACACTACGCCGCCAGGGACTCAAATCCTGAGTGTCCCCCTACTTAAGCCAGTACATGTCCAGGCCCGTCTGAAGTTTGCTAGAGTGCATTTGGATGATCCAGAAGAGGATTGGGAGAATGTCATATGGTCAGATGAAACCAAAATAGAACTTTTTGGTAAAAACTCAACTCGTCGTGTTTGGAGGACAAAGAATGCTGAGTTGCATCCAAAGAACACCATACCTACTGTGAAGCATGGGGGTGGAAACATCATGCTTTGGGGCTGTTTTTCTGCAAAGGGACCAGGACGACTGATCCGTGTAAAGGAAAGAATGAATGGGGCCATGTATCGTGAGATTTTGAGTGAAAACCTCCTTCCATCAGCAAGGGCATTGAAGATGAAACGTGGCTGGGTCTTTCAGCATGACAATGATCCCAAACACACCGCCCGGGCAACGAAGGAGTGGCTTCGTAAGAAGCATTTCAAGGTCCTGGAGTGGCCTAGCCAGTCCTCCAGATCTCAACCCCATAGAAAATCTTTGGAGGGAGTTGAAGTCTGTGTTGCCCAGCTACAGCCCCAAAACATCACTGCTCTAGAGGAGATCTGCATGGAGGAATGGGCCAAAATACCCGCAACAGTGTGTGAAAACCTTGTGAAGACTTACAGAAAACGTTTGACCTGTGTCATTGCCAACAAGGGTATATAACAAAGTATTGAGAAACTTTATTGACCAAACTTATTTTTCCCACCATAATTTGCAAATAAATTCATAAAAAATCCTACAATGTGATTTTCTTGATTTTTTTTTCTCATTTTGTCTGTCATAGTTGACGTGTACCTATGATGAAAATTACAGGCCTCTCTCATCTTTTTAAGTGGAGAACATGCACAATTGGTGGCTGACTAAATACTTTTTTCCCCACTGTATATCATATATATATATATATACATATGATACCACATTGTGCCTAGAGCCCATTTGTGCTTACCCGTATGGGTTTGAGGAAGTCCAGGTTGTTGAGGAAGTGGCTTTCTGCTTGGTTGAGCCAGGAGCCTGGGGACCTGCAGAGGATCTCCTGGACCAGACTGGACACCTCGCTGTCTGTGATGGTCACAAAGTCCTCCAGACTGGTGCCGTTGCTTTTGCACATGTCCCTCAGGTGGACACCGAAGCCTTTGACCAGCACCTGGAGAGGGAGGGGGAGAAGGGTCGATGGGTAATGTAGCAATGACTAAGGACAGGCAGAGAACAGTATTTCTCAACCCCCCAAGGTTTTCATTCATCTAAGCAGATGTGCTCGTGCAGGGTTAGAACAAAATTTGAAACACGTAATCTTGGGGGTACTGAAAGTACAGAGTTGAGAAACACACATGGATGAGGCCATGTGACTTTGGAGTTGCGTGCATGTTGTTATCTCGGGGGTGGATCCCACGGAGCAATATTAGGACCTTAATTGTTTCCATACTGTATCTAGATTCCCATTGCTTTATGTTGCTGCTGGATTGTGTGTGTAATGTGAGGGCATTATCAGTATCAAATTGTTGTAATCCATTTAGCTAAAGAATAAGGCCTAGTTTAAATTATTTCCACATAGGCCTACAGTGGGAAACCATAACAGGAGACCTTGAGCCTTTAAAAGATCTCAAATGGGGGGAAAAAGAGAATAGTAAAACCAGATGGCAGTTTCTAAAACTGTGAAAGAAAACAAATATATCTTCATGTTTTTGAGGAGAGAACAAAGACAGAGTCGAAGAGGATGTCTTGTAGTAAAGATTCTCCAGTGGTGAAGGTTACAGTACTAGCCCTTTGGGATATTCCCTGCTTCATCACATTACTTTCATTCAAACACAGCAGCAGACCTTTAGAAATCTCCCCCTCTCTCTAAAGATTTATGTCCCTGAAATAAAGAGCCACAGACTTAATTAACTCACAGGTGCTCCATCAAATCTAACCCAGAAACGCTACTGACCGGTTCTATATCTGCTAATGGGAATGTTCAACAACTACTACACTGCTTCTAATAGTGTCCGTGATCGACTGAACTGACCATAGTAATAGGCCTATGCCTCATATAACTTTGGGAGGGTGGTATTTTATCTCTTACCTTCTCCAAGTTCACGTCGGCCTCAATTATCTGGTGCACGGCGTGTTCCGAGAAGGAGGCGTTTCGCAAAAGGAAAGTGGACAGGGTCTCATTGTCATGGAGGAAATCCTTCAGCTTGAATCCTGTGGGACATAAACACAACAACTTGTTCAAACTAGCTCTCTCCTATACCCTGACATTACTAGTTGTGTGTGTGTGTGCTTGGATGGAATTACCTATTGTAGTAGGCCTATTTAGCAAGTGTTGGATGTTTTTTGCTAAATCATGCTATTTTCCTTAATTGTGGGGGTACTGTATTAGCTTTCAACCTCATTCAAACTTTTGTTTTGCCCAATTGTTATGTGATTGGTTGCTAGTTACTCAGGCGATCAACCCTACAAAACGATTGGCAGATTATTTGGATAAGCTTTCTTTTTGTATTTTAAAGTTCAAATTACCGGACAGTAATTTATACCTACAAATCTAAACAAACAACTATGCTGTGGCTCCAGCAGCACAAACAAAAGCAGGCGAATACTTTCCCCCTTCTCCATAAAGGTAGCTTCATGAATAGCTTTTCAGAGGCTGGAGAGCTATTTCCATAAATCACGTGTGAACTAAAATAATCAACTGTTGACCTGTGGAGAATGAGGTGACACATCCACAGGAGGCTGCTGAGAGGAGGACGGCTCATAATAATGGCTGGAACGGAGCGAATGGCATCAAACACATGGAAACCATGTCTTTGATGTATTTGATACCATTCCACTTATTCTGCTCCAGCCATTACCACGAGCCCATCCTCCCCAATTAAGGTGCAACCAACCTCCTGTGCACACATCACACTTTCAACCACAGTGACGACTTCACATAAAAAAAACAATGGACCATACACAAACGCCCGAGTGGCGCAGTGGTCTAAAAAAAAATAATAATATATATATATATATAAAAAAAATGTATGCACTCACTAACTGTAAGTCGCTCTGGATAAGAGCGTCTGCTAAAAAATAAATAATAATATATAACAAAAATTAAACTGTCTGCAAATCGTCTGCTAACTCAAATCAAAGTGTATTTGTCATGTGCACAGGATAAAACAGGTGTAAACAGTACAGTTAAAATTAAAATTATTATTATTTGTTAAAATATTTATTATTATTATTATTATACTTTTATACTATCCCAGGTATTCCTTAAAAAGGTAGCGTTTCAAGTGTCTCCGGAAGGTGGTCAGTGACTGTGAACTGTGCTTCCGCAGAGGTAGGTGGACCAGCAGGCCAGAGGTGGAAGAAGGCAATGCCCTCGTTTGGGTGTAGGGACTGATCAGAGCCTGAAGGTAAGGAGGTACTGTTTCCCTCACAGCTCCGTAGGCAAGCACCATGGTCTTGTAGCAGATGTGAGCTTCAACTGGAAGCCAGTGGAGTGTGCGGAGGAACGGAGTGACGTGAGAGAACTTGGGAACGTTGAACACCAGACGGGCTGCAGCGTTCTGGATGAGTTGTAGGGGTTTAATGGCACAGGCAGGGAGCCCAGCCAACAGCGAGTTGCAGTAATCCAGACGGGAGATGACAAGTGCCTGGATTAGGACTTGTGCCGCTTCCTGTGTAAGGCAGGGTCGTACTCTCCGAATGTTGTAGAGCATGAACCTACAGGATCGGGTCACCACCTTGATGTTAGCGGAGAACGACAGGGTGTTGTCCAGGGTCACGCCAAGGCTCTTCGCACTCTGGGAGGAGGACACAACGGAGTTGTCAACCGTGATGGCGAGATCATGGAACGGGCAGTCCTTCCCCGGGAGGAAGAGCAGCTCCGTCTTGCCGAGGTTCAGCTTGAGGTGGTGATCCGTCATCCATACTGATATGTCTGCCAGACATGCAGAGATGCGATACAGTAGAGTACAGTAGAATACAGTAAAGTACAATATAGAACATTATACTATACTCTACTATGCTGTGCTCCACTGTACTGTAATCTACTGTACTGAACTATACTCTCTTTTTCTTTACTATACTTAACTGTACTATGCTGTCCAAAATTGGATCTGAACCAATCATAGATGTCTATGTTTGGGCCAAATCAAGGCCGGTCCGGACCAAATCAGAACCAATCATAGACATTTTTGGGGGGGCCAAATCAAGGCCGGTGTGGACCGGACCAAATCTGAACCAAATATAGACGTCTATGATGGGTTCAGATTTGGTCTGGACTGGAAGTTGAAATCAAGGCCAGGGCGGACGGACCAAATGCCAACGTCTTTTCAACGTCGGTGCTCACAGGGTCAGTACCAGTACTGGCCCCCCCTCTCTCCTTGGCTCCTTCCCTCAACTCCTGGGCCCTTTCAAAGAACAAAAGCTGGAAGTGGGTTCTGATGGCAGTGGGGGGTCGGGGGAACAAAAGGCCAGGAGGTGGCAGATTCCTGAAACATTAACCCCCCCCCCCCCCTGGCTGGACGGACATTTGAAGATAGACAAGGTGAGGGGGTGGGGGTCAAATTCGGTCTCAGAAAATCTGGGGCCTTTTCAAAAACTGACAGACTCCATTTTGTTTTACTGTCTAAAACATGCACCCCTGTAAATCATTAGAAACAAATGTCAAAAAGAGTTACAAATTAGCAAAAAAAATATCCAACAAACCATGAACATGCTTTAGAATTTTGCGATAGGTCAATTGAATCAATGTTCCTCCACTGGTCACAGTCCACCCCCATCCCCCCATGACACCTTTCAGTTAATCTACTCTGACAAATCCTTCAGTCTATTGTATTGGGACATTCACAGGCTTTTGTGAATTCCTGTTGAAAGCCCGTGAAAAGCCTCTCTGGAGGTAAGCCATTGTAGCCATGGGCTTGGTTTTTACAGGACTGTCTAACAAAACATTGGTGGCCCTAGGTCTAGTTCATGATCCTTATGGCGTCCGCATGCTTCCCAGCTGAAACAGTTCAGAAGAGTTCATGCATATATTATGATTACATTTTGTGATGTTTTTGGACTTCGGTGAGGATTTTTTTCAGCTGCTCGGACACATTACACTTTTTCTAGAGGCAAGCCGATGTCTGGAGCCAAAGTCTACGCCCCTTCGTCTGTGATTGGTCAACAGTAGGGATTCTTCAATAATGTCCTTGTTGTCAGTCAACGAGAGACGACTCGTTTTCATGCACATTGTTTCATTGAGAAATACTGCACTAAACATCTTAGTTAGATGTAAAATTGTGCAACTAAGATCTCCTTGGCAAAAATGTCCAAATTAATGCCAGATTTCTTGAGTTATTTTAGATCAATTCTGACCATTTTGAAAATTGGCTACGGCATCTTAAAATGGACAAACAGTACTATTGCCGCTTTTTTATCGTTTTTCAAGCGAAGGTGTTTTAAAGGAGTATGAGAGCACACTTGTTCGGTTCGACTAGCCGAGTGATGCACCAGCCAAACTGAAGCATGCTGACGCCTTTATTGTTAAATGTGAGATTAATCAATCTAGATATTACAACATATCATGTTAAAATCAGGCTGTAAAATGTGTGCCCTGCTGAACACCAAAAAGATTACCCTTCATGAAATATATTGGATGTCACGCCCTGGCTCTGGGGACTCTTAAATGTTGAGCCAGGGTGTTTTTTATTTTTTATTTTATTTAACCTTTATTTAACCAGGTAAGCCAGTTGAGAACAGGTTCTCATTTACAACTGCGACCTGGCCAAGATAAAGCAAAGTAGTGCAATAAAAACAACACAGAGTTACATATGGGGTAAAAAACATAAAGTCAGAAATACAACAGAAAATATATATACAGTGTGTGCAAATGTAGCAAGTTATGGAGGTAAGGCAATAAATAGGCTATAGTGCAGAATAATTACAATAGTATTAACACTGGAATGCTAGATGTGCAAGAGATTATGTGCAAATAGAGATACTGGGGTGCAAAAGAGCAAAATAAATAACAATATAGGGATGAGGTAGTTGGGTGGGCTAATTTCAGATGGGCTGTGTACAGGTGCAGTGATCGGTAAGGTGCTCTGACAACTGATGCTTAAAGTTATTGAGGGAGATAAGAGTCTCCAGCTTCAGAGATTTTTGCAATTCGTTCCAGTCATTGGCAGCAGAGAACTGGAAGGAATGGCGGCCAAAGGAGGTGTTGGCTTTGGGAATGACCAGTGAGATATACCTGCTGGAGCGCAGACTACAGGTGGGTGCTGCTATGGTGACCAATGAGCTAAGATAAGGCGGGGATTTGCCTAGCAGTGATTTATAGATGGCCTGGAGCCAGTGGGTTTGACGACGAACATGTAGTGAGGACCAGCCAACAAGAGCGTACAGGTCACAGTGGTGGGTAGTGTATGGGGCTTTGGAGACAAAACGGATGGCACTGTGATAGACTACATCCAATTTGCTGAGTAGAGTGTTGGGAGGCTATTTTGTAAATGACATCGCCGAAGTCAAGGATCGGTAGGATAGTCAGTTTTACGAGGGCATGTTTGGCAGCATGAGTGAAGGAGGCTTTGTTGCGAAATAGGAAGCCGATTCTAGATTTAACTTTGGATTGGAGATTCTTTATGTGAGTCTGGAAGTTGAGTTTACAGTCTAACCAGACACCTAGGTATTTGTAGTTGTCCACATACTCTAGGTCAGACCCGTCGAGAGTGGTGATTCTAGTCGGGTGGGCGGGTGCCAGCAGCGTTCGATTGAAAAGCATGCATTTAGTTTTACTAGTGTTTAAGAGCAGTTGGAGGCTACTGAAGGATTGTTGTATGGCATTGAAGCTCGTTTGGAGGTTTGTTAACACAGTGTGGAGTTTCTATGTCATATTTTCTATGTTGTGTTTTCTAGATCGTTTAGATCTATGTTGGCCAGGGTGGTTTCCAATTAGAGGCAGCTGTATCTCGTTGTCTCTGATTGGGGACAATACTTAGGCAGCCTGTTTGGCACTAGTCGGTGTGGGATCTTGTTCCGTTAAGGTTTGTTTTGTGTAACCTAGGACTTCACGTTTCTTTTGTTTACTGATTTGTCGTGAGTTAAGTACTTAATAAAATGTACGCTTATCACGCTGCGCCTTGGTCCGTATCTTTCGTTAACGATCGTGACAGAAGATCCCACCAAAAGAGGACCAAGCAGCGTGTCCAGGAACAGACAGCCTGGACCTGG